CTCGAAACCGATTCGGGTAGATGAAAAAGTTGGCAAGGGACAAGCCCAGCCAGAAGTAGCTCGGCCGCCTTGTAGTTCTTTACATTGATTTGGGTAGACCATTTTACTACCAGGTTTTGATTGTGACTCAGGTGAAATTGGTGGAGCCCGTTGGTTTCAGTTGGACGCTCAGTTGCCCAGAAGCGAATGGCTGGGGCCGGCCAAAACTACGACGTATACTGCACGCGTTCTGATACATGGTTAGGAAGGCATGGTAACATGTTGCATCAAACGGTACCCACGTACACATGAGAGTCGTCCGAAAGGTCCTTGTATCACGCTATGAAGGGGAAGACCTTTTGGTCTCAGCATTCCGCGAGAGTTCCGCGAAGGGGATCGATCGCGAAGATTGATTTGTTGTTCGCGAAGGTTTTGTGTAAGGGTGGCTTGCTAACAGAAAGCTGGAATGATGAATGCGCGCAGAATGTCCGCAGACTAAAGTTGGTCGGGAAATGCGCGGCCTGAGGGTTGCCGCGAGAATACGCCGCTGCAAAAGCAACCCACAGCCAGCAGAAACCAGCTTGTGGGAGATGTGATGCTTTCGGGTCAAATTGAGTGCAACTTTCCAGCCGAATTTTCGCGAATGTTTGGCGTAAGATCCGCGACAGTTTCGCGAAAGTCGACGGACCTCCGCGCAAGTTTTCGGACATGAGCCCAACGGGCCCTCTCGCGCGATGCTGCCGCAAGGCTTGTGAGCTGGAGCTTCGCGTGCTACTTTTGATTTGAAAGGTTGCGACTTTTTCGAGCTGAAGCTGCGGAAGTTTACTTCTTGTGCTACTTTCGCATCGAAAAGTTGCGACTTTGAAGCTGGAGCTGCGGAAGTTTACTTCTTGTACTACTTTCGCATCGAAAAGTTGCGACTTTGAAGCTGGAGCTGCGGAAGTTTACTTCTTGTACTACTTTCGCATCGAAAAGTTGCGACTTTGAAGCTGGAGCTGCGGAAGTTTACTTCGTGCACTCTTTCGTACTGAAAAGTGTTGACTTTCGAGGCGAGGCTGCGGAATTTTAGTTCGTGTACTTTCGTATTCAAGCTTGGCTGCGGAAGTGTACTTTTCGTACTACTTTCGTATTGAGAAGCTGCGGCTTTCGAGGCTGCGAAAGTGCACTTCGTGTACTACTTGTGTGATGAATGTTCTGAAAACAGTTCGCGAAAGTTCCGCTACGGGGCCCGCGAAAGTTAGTTTTTTTTTTCTCGCGAAGATGGCGGTTTCCGGAACGAGGAATTTCAGACAACCGTCACATGGCGACTCGTTCCGAGTTGATGAAATCAAGCAATCGGATTGGGCATAACATGTGGAGTATTTTGTCGAGGCACATGTTCAACGGGTACTACGCTACAGATGAAACAGGAGATCACCGTCGAAATAGCATGACATCACGCCCGCATGTCACGCATCCAATCACATTGGGTTTACATCATGATAGAATGGGCTGGCGTTCCAGAAACTTCTGAGACCTAGCAGGAGAGACACTCTTGGCATTCGACGCAACGGTACCCAAGGGTGGAATCCCATTGAGAGTTTTCAAAGATTGTATCAGTGCTTCACTTCCATTTGCCTTCGAGATGTTTGGCTATTTTCCCTTGTTGGTTTTAACGGGAATCCATCACTTCTGGAAGCACGTTTATTCTTCCCAGGGGCTGCGTCCACAAATGGAAGAAAGCACGTTGCGGCAGAGCGTGCAGATCAAGCCCACCGTGGCAACAACCGCAAAGATCGGGAAGCAGGAGCTGTTGGCAGGCGACGATGTTGACACAGTGCATCATTCCCGCACACCCACCGCACGCGCACGCACGCGCACGCGCACACACACACACAGGTTAGTAAGGGGCAATCTCAGCCGGAATTAGGTGCGGCCGCCTTCTTAGTTCTTTACATGGTTCCGGGTATACCATTTGAATACCAGGTTTTGATTGTGACTCACTTTGTTTTAGGCAGTTGTTTTTTTGCTGGGACGCTAGCTGGTTGGATTCGCAATGTTCACTTTCTGTTGGACACCAACAGTGGCATGTGTTTTGCTGGAATCTGCCAGCAGACAAATCATCTGATCTGGGAAATTTGGAGACACCAAAATGTCCCAAAGATCGAGGGCCCCTGAGATACGGTGCCTGCGGGTTTTCCTTGTACCAAACTCGAGGAAACGGTTTGGATTCGCGTTTTCGGTGGAAATCACCTGTTCTTCAACCCTGTTGGTCCTTTTTTAGTAATCTTTTAGTACTCTTTGAATATCCTACAGGGGTGGATCCACGGATTCGCCACATCCAAACGGTTTTCCAAACATGCAGGGTGAATGGGCTTCGCATCCGGGAAAAAGAAAAGTCCAGGCCAGCTGCAGGCGGGGGGAAAAGAGAGGGGGGATGAATGGAAGCCATGGGAGCGAGCCAAAAGGTTCCATTTGCTTCCCACTTGCCGGTGATTGCTCCAAGCAGACGAAACTCGATTTTTTACCAAAAGAAACCAACCGGGACCAATGAACATATGAGTCAATGATAGCTTTGTTCAAGAAGAAAAAACCTCGTTTGGGACGTGTTCTTTTGTGACCCCTTTGTAGGTGGGGAAGCTCGTTTGGGACACTGCGTTTTCCAGATTGGGACCCTTTCATTTTGAACATGTCCTAGATTGTCCACTCGCATGGCCGAGGAACGGCAAGCATTGACAGTTGCTTTTGTCTACCCGTGCAAGCGTCAAACCATATCACCCCTGCCAGAGAACTCCCAAAGTTGGAAAAATTCCAAGGCGCAGCCCCTCACCGGGTTAAATCCATTGTAATGCGCTAAACAACATAAATTTCATGTTTGTTTTACGATAATGACTTCATGTTTTTTCGGCTTCATTGCACACACAAAACAACATATCATGTCTGTGTTACGATCGTGACGGCATGTGTTTGCTTTCCGGTTTCACTGCTACAAACAACTTCGCAGATGTCGGCCCCTTATCTTCATGGACTGCATCCGCTGCTTGGGGCCGATCCTTCGAAAGATTCCGAGGGAATCTCCGCTCCGAGGAGTGGCGGAGAAAATGAGTTGGATGCCTATCCCAAAGGGAATCCCTATCAAAAAGGGAATCCCTTTCTGGAATATGTGCTTTTGCAGCCAATTGTTACTTTGAGGGCATTTTCAAACTGGCTGAAACATCCGATTGCTACAAAAACTTTGAGTTGTACCCGCCACACTCACTATTGTAGTCGGTCTAATTGATATGTTTGCAGAAGCTGCCGGTGGGCATGGGAAAATGTTGACGTTCTTTTTGGCTTGGGATGTTGAGTCCACCATGTCCCAAGTTGACCAAGTTCGGCCGAACTTCTGAGACTGACGAGACAATGCTCACTGCGCCGGACGCGCCTTCCATCCCAGGGATGGCAAGCTGCAGTTCGACTTTTGCCTCTGGAAAGACTTCGTGCGGCGCGCGCACAAGGCGCCATGGCAACCCCTCGGGGCTCAAGACGACAGAAAGGAGTAGCCAGATATGGCCCAACATGTGTAGCTTTGATGGTTTTAGGTCTTAGGGTTTTGTAACCTGAGGTGTTCGGTTTGGGTAACCTGATAGGTGTTGGGGTTGAGAAACCTAAAGTCTGGCTGCTTTCAGGCGTACGATAGGCCCTGCGATGGGGCCTCTCAAGTGGTGCTTTATAAAGTATATCACGCACACGGGCCAAACATAATGTTCCGAACATGGCGGCGTCAACTGTTTCGGAGTTGCTGGCAGGTTGTCAAAAGATCGGAATTCCCATGGAGCTCCATTAGAATTGTGGCTGGAGTTGCGTTTGAATATCGGAGTTCTGAGTTGCACTTGTCTGAGCTGCGCAACCCTGTTTGCAGCAGTGGGCGACGTTCACCTGTTGGAAGGCTATTGTTGATTAAGTTTTTTCCGGTGCCAGTTGCAGAGGTCATATAAGAAACTAGCAACACCTAAAGAATGACTCAAATTTAGTATTAAGGGGGCTTTGTGCTTTTCTCAACCATCCCTTGTGGTTTCCTTAAAGGGAATCCCCTTCCGGTTCCATTCTCAACACCCGGAAGGTCATTCCCTACCTATCGCGCCAGCAAGAGAAATGTGCCTAAAGTTCGTCCGTCTCAGGGTTTTAAAGGATGTGTCCACACCTGGATGCATCTGCCCGGTGTTGGGTACAGATGGCACAGCGGGAACGGATCGCTATCTGGAGGCCTCCATGATCAGGGCCAGCTTTGCGTTTTGAGCATCAAAGAGGGGGTTTCCAATGTTCAAAGGGAGGCTTTTGGGCTTCTCCGATCGCGCAGGTGAAACAGCGCGACCCAAAGGCCGGTCTCTGATTCGAAAAGTGGAGCGCCGGATTTGGGGCAAAGTGGGGGTCTCCAAGGCTTTGGTGCATTGGAGCAACCCGGACGCAAGATAGAAGTGCAAGCGAAGTTGGTTGGGGGAAAGGCTGTTTGGCCACGCCAGGTGTAAGACATGCAAGCTTTCTGGGTTTCAAGCTCCGTTCAGAAGGCGTGAAGAGGCAAGTGAAACAAGCGCAAGGTTCCACTTGGAAAGTCTCTTGCGCCTTCACCTGAACAGATACAGGACCTCAGACCTTGGTAGTTCCCAGCCGTGTCTTGGGGTGTTTTCCGTTTTTAGTGAGGCGGGTTTTTATGTATCCCGCTAAAAGTGAAACTGTTCGGGGATCTGAAAATGGACAGCCCGGAAACCGTACTTTTCCAGCCTTGTACCCGCCAAAGAAAGGATGAGAAAAAAAATGTTCCGAGTTCATGGTCAAAGGTGCGGTAAGAAGTGTGCATGCCAGCAGGATACATGGTTTTGGAAAGCTTGGTTTGATTTCCGTGACTTCAAGTTGATTTTTTTCGAGGTGGGGAAGTAGGATTGTCCGCCAGCAGGGCAGGAGAATTAGCACAGATTGCCCCTGTGGTTGGATGGTTGAACTGAGTTTGGAGGGAGGGAGAGAAAGAGAAAGAGAGAGAGAAAGAGAAAGAGAAAGAGGGAAGGAGGGAGAGTGCCATAGCTGAATCCCCTTGAGTTCTCAATTCGGCATTCATGCCCGACATAGAGCCGCTCTGACATAGAGCTGCTTCGCGCTGGCTCGCTGCAGCATCTTTGCCTCTTCGCTCCTTCGCCCTTGTTCGACGCCATGGCTGAGCAGCCGAAGAAGCCAGCGGGCGGTGCCTACGGACAGCTTCCTGGCATTCATAAACGGCCATGCCCGCGTATTGTTAACCCCGGATTAATACACCCCTGGTGAATTAATAGGGGTGTGTGTGTGCCCTTTTAGTGGGGATTCAGACCAGTTTTGGGGGGAACACCCCCTCTAATAATCGGACGGGTTGGTTAATCCTGGGTCAACATTGTCTTGGGTAAGGGAAAAAAGACTGGAGCCGTCCCAATCACAAGTGCTTGGTCTTGAGCTATGACTTATTCTAGTCAGTAGGGCTTGGTGGTGCCGCAGGTGTTTCTTCACCCAGGATTCAGAGAGCTTGGCTGCTGTTTCTGAGGCCAACCTGCTGAAAGGATCCTGAAGAGGGCTGAAAGCCTGAATTTCGAATCAAGCCCTGCACCATAGACGTGGGTGCTTTCGTTGAAGGGAGACCCCAAAGCCGGGCGTTCTTTTGGGTTGCCCTTTTGCAAACAAGTCTAAGATGGGAGTCCCTGGCCGCAACGGACTTGTGGAATCATTGTGGAACCACATCTAGGTCCCCCAGAGAATCGGGTCCCCAACATTGGCCCCAATCAGAATAGGGTTCTGTCAATCAACCAAACAACGATGCCCGTTTTTTTTCCCCATGGAAATCCGCTGGGCATCTGACTTCGTCTTTCCGCCAAGGTTCTTGGCGGAGAAGCGCCCAGAGCTGTCGAAGGAGACCAAGGGACAGCCCATCACGGCCGTCACCAAGCTGGCCGGGGAACGCTTCAAGGCGCTCAGCGAGGAGGCGCGGTGCCGGTCGTTTCCTTTTCGCATGCGGAAAGGTTAAGTGGCGGGGGCGCAAATAAATGTACCAAAATGGCACCCTTGGCAAATGGAACCAAAGACTAAAAGCTGCATAAACCTAGCTCTTTAATTTTGAGCCACACTCAAGTGAGTCATAATCAGAAGAATGGTCCTGTTGAAGGAAAATTGTCTGCCAGACCCCTCAGTCAAGTTCCATGTTAGTGGACAGGGTATTGCAATGGTCTGAACAAACTTCCAGAATTAAGCAGGCGGCATTCCGCACCCATGTGTGGCAAGGGGAGTACTTGCAAACGTTCATCTATGCCCAAATCGGTTTTGAGGAAGTGACTCAAGTCACTGGCCGGTTGGCCATCCAAGTGCAACTTGAGTGGCGGCGTTGATATGATAAAAAGGCAAAAGTTGAGTGGTACAATAACTAGGTCCCCCAGTAGTGCCCTTTTACCCATTTTTGGGGGAGGGTTCCCCTACTAAAATAGACTACAGAAAAAAAAAGGTACCCTTATTCTAACCTCTCTACTGGAGGACCTAGAAAAAGTCAGCATACATTCTGAAACTGCTTACCTGGGGCCTCATGGTTTCTCTTCTTTGATTCTTCCTCCGCAAAAAGAGGAGTTGATCACGACAACTGTGTTTGCAGGTCTGGCATTTTGTACGCAGGAGAAGGCAGTCTACCAGAAGAAGTATGAGAAGGCGAAGGCGAAGTACGAGGAGGACATGAAGAGCTTCCTTGAAGCAGGTGCGGTGCACTTGCACTGGTAGCTTGGGTGCCATGCTGTTTCTGAATGCATGCGATATCCTCCCTGTAAGACAACTGGATTTCCATTGGAGCTGTGAAGCCGTCCGCATAGATTAGATATATTAGACAAGTATTGTTAGTTAATATACGCTTATTTATAGCAGTATTTATTACAATATTATTTGTTTAGTATATAGCATGTTGATAGGGCAAGTGCTTGAGAGCAAATTGTTTGAAGCCTTCAGGTTGAGCTCTGTGCAGTGCCTGAGGTGGCGAGAAGAAGGCGCGAAAGTCAAAGGAAGAGAAGGTGAAGCCAAAGAAGGAGAAGAACTGACAGGGTACTGAACACTCACCAGGTGAGTTGGCTGTTTTTGGAGCCCAACGTTTTCGACGTTGGAGCTTGCATGTTGAGAGGGGGGCGCGCCAGCGCGCCAGAGAGTTCCGGCACCTCCAAGGGCATCTGAGTTTAGAGTGCCCAGCAGCTCAGTGGAGTTCAGGCAACCCCAGAAGTAGGAAAGCCAATGGGCCATGTGTGACTTTTGAAGGGTTCCTCGGCTATCTATGCGGGCAAATGGCCATGGGTCGAAATCCAAATCGACCCCCCAGCGAACATCCGATTCAATCCCCACTAAAGTAGGTCCTAAAATGAGTGGTGAATTCACCTACCAACCAAAATGGGATCCCAAAACGGTTTTGACCACGGCCAAATGGGATCCGCCTTACGTTTTGTGCCAGGATCCTGAGGCACCCAAAAGGCCTGCAGGCGGAGCCTACGGCTGCTTCCTCGCCAAGCGCCTTGGACTGTGGAGTCGTGTCGGCTGAAATTCGCTTCATCTCTGAGCATGTGGAAAGCCGTTTCCATGTGTTGCAGCTTAGGGCTTCATGATTCACGATTGCTTGTTTGGAGATGTATTTGGAAAACCGGTTCCATGTCGGCTGTGGTTGTCAAAACCGCTTTGGGATCCCATTTTGGTTGGTAGGTGAATTCACCACCCATTGTAGAGCCTATTTTAGTGGGGATTGAATCGGATGTTCTCTGGGGGTACGGGATTTTGACCAATGGCCATGTGTTGCAGCTTAGGGCTTCATGATTCATGATTGCTTGTGGATTGGCGTGCAGGAGCTGTGCCAAATCTGTTGCAGGGTCTGTTTGTCAGGAGCGAGCAAATGAGCGGATGTTGAAGCACGATTTTGGCATGTTGAAATCTCAGGGAAATGTGTGTCATCATTTCTGCTTGCTTCTTGTTCGAGCTGCCTCGTGCGTGGTATGCCTCAGTTCGACTTAGGGTTCTTGTTGCTGTAGCGACGGGTTTGTCGTGATGAGGGACATGTGGGGCTCAATGAGGGCTGTGCTGTGCGAAGGCATCGCGCGGCCTTTGCCGAGCAGTGCAAGGGCAAGCCCGTGACGGCCGTCACGAAGCTGGCGTCTGAGAAGTGGAAGGCACTCAGCGAGGAAGAGAAGAAGATCTTCGAAGCGGAATACAAAGCCAAGAAGGAGGCGTATGACGAAGCCGTCAAGTCCTACGTGCCAAAGATCAGTGACGAGCCAAGCGAGCCACCTGCCAAAAAGGCAAAGGCGCTCTTGGGTGCCTGAATTTATGGCATTTGCCTTAATTAATCATTGGTGCCACCCAGGAACATTGTGATTTGGGCGGAGCATCACGAATCACCATTGCGCTTGCGCGGAAAGCGTATGGGGGCGGTGATTGGGACTGAGATGCACGAACCAACCTCGCTTTGGAAAGATAACGAACCAACTCTGTATAATCTGATAGGCAATGAAATTGATTCATAAGTGTTCTGTTTAAATTACTGAAATTGATGTTCTGAATTTTGATATTATTGGATTATATATGTAGAAATATACAAATTGTATAATAATTTATAATATATTATTATATAATTTATAAAAAACAAAATATATATATTAGTTTTGATTTTGGATAATAAAAAAATATGATAGAATTGAGTAGTTTATATAAATAATATATAGGTATAATTAGTTTATATATATATATTAATATATTTATAGGATATATGTTTTGGGGGGGGAAAAGGATATATTGGGTGTATTTATTTTTTTGATATTGGGGTAAATATATTAATGATATTTATTGATTTTGAAAAGGATAATATTATATTAATGCTATATTTGAGAGTGAATATTTTAGGCATTATTTAAAGGAAATGTTGAAGGATTTTTTATAATATGGGATATTTATTTGTTTTATTATTATAATAGTTGATGGTTGTTTTATTATTTTGCTAAAATTTGTATATTAAGTCTTAGTATATTATTTTTGGTTATTATTTTCTTCTTGAGTTTGATTAAATATTTTGGTATAAATAAAGTAAGAGAGAATTTATATAAATTTGAAGATTATGATATTTTTTATTAGATATGGTTGCCGGGAGGCGAAATTCTGTCGTTAAAGAAAAAATAGATGGGTTATGTTTGTAGTATATATTGCTTCGGTGAATGATGGTTTTGATGTTATTAGTACATATATTGCGAGCAAATAAACATAAATTTTGCTTAGAATTTGAGATTTCGAAAAAACATATTAATTATGAGAATGATTTCCAAAAATACTTATTGTGGGAGGTTAGCACAAGTGACATATAACACAACTCACATTGAACCTCTTTTAATGTTCTATAGGTCTAGAAATGATAGGGAAATTAGCGCCATAAAGAATCATAATAACATCTTATAACGTCCTATTATGAAAACCCTTGAGTCTTCGCACTTGCAAGCCCTAAACACTTTCGGACACGTGCAAAATGTAAAATGTTTTAGCAAAATGTATTTGTTAGTGGAATTGGATTATATCGGTTGCAAGGAGGAAAAAGCGTCGTAGGATTAGCTAGCACAACAAAAGATTGGATATGATTTTGGCCGGGCCATATAACTATCCAATTGAGAAGGTACTAAGGACTGGTAACAAAATTGGAAACGAGGTTTATAGCGTTCGAAATACAGTAGTGTTATTAAAAGGAAACTAGAAGATGGGTGGCCCGAAAGCATAAGCAATATACGGCGTCAAGTAATCCTAGCAAGTTCTTTGCGCAAGTTCCTCTGAGCAAGTTGTTGGCATGTATTCCTTTGAACAAATTAAATAAATTCTTAAAATACATTTCTCTAAGCAAATTTCGATAAGCAAGTTGTCTGAACAAGCTCTCTGCGCATAACGTTTGTCGTAACACACTACAACTTTCTAATACAATTCAATACTACAACTTTCTCGTGCCACTTGCTGGTGTCACGGTACATTTGTTGAACATAATGAAGGGTTCTATTGATGTGTCATAAGGACGCAATCTTACAATTAATCAAGATCAAGAAATGCGGCGCTAGTTTCCACAAAGCAATTCAGTATCAACCGGATATCATGGTATTTATCTATCAAAACCAATTAAATAATTAAAGGCTCGACAGGGCTCTACTAATGCCAAAAGGATGCAAACCTGCACTTGACCAAAAAGGATATTGGCTTCCAAAAAGCAGCTCCGTGTCCCGAGCAAAGCAATCAGCCGGATATCACGGCATTTATTTATCGAGAATAACGGTATATATTCAAGGCATGATGGAGCTCTATTGATGCACCAGAAGCATTGGCTGCCGAAAAGCAGCTCAGAATCTTGAGCAAAGCAATCAAGCGGACAGCTCAGCATCAGCCGGATATCACGGTATTTGTCTATCGAAAACAATTAAAAAAAATTAAAGGCTCGACAAGGCTCTATTAATGCGCCAAAAGGATGCAAACCTGCATTCGACCAAAAAGGATATTGGCTTCCAAAAAGCAGCTCAGTGTCCCGAGCAAAGCAATCAGCCGGATATCACAGCACAAGATTTTTTTATCGAGAAATATATATATATATATTTAAGGCTTAATTGGGCCCTACTGGTGCGCTATAAGAATGCAGACTGGGAACTAAGAAGCCAAGCGGAAAATAGGACCCCGGGCGGCATTATAGCATCTAGCCTCTGACCGTCTCTATGATGCTGTGACGTTAGCTCCGGGATCGTGGCTCCCGCTTGTTTCCCTATATCTCCCAATTTCTGTGGTTAGAAGCTAGATGCTATGATGCCGACACCGGGATCCTATTTTCTTCTTGGCTTCTTTCTCCGGAAATGCTAGATTCTGTACTGCTAACTCCAGGATTATATCTCCCACTTGTCTCCCTATATCTCTCGTGTTTCCTATTTACTATTACACAATCGAACAATAATAATAATGTTAATTCACACATAATTGACGACACAAAACCATTAATTTCGGGCGCCGACGAATCGATACGGAAAAGAAATATCTTAAAGGAATCTAAATAATTTTAAATTTAATCCAAAAAACAATATAATCTCCCCGATTTATATTATCAAAATCTAATATAATTCATTAAGTGTTCAAATATTAAACACTAATTAGATAAGACAAGATTCAATCTTAAAACCTGCATACAAACAACAACATAACACGCTCAACAAAAACAAGGCAAGACTCAACCAATACCCGAACGAAATCAGAAGTGTAAGGCTTAATGAGGGAATAGGAATCGAGAGAGGCCTGGAGAGGCACAACCACCGTCGCAGTAACAAAGACACACTAAATCAAATTGATTAAATAACGCATAAGTATGTATGTGTTTGCAAAAATAAAGAAAAAATGCAAAAAAAACATAACGAAAAAAAATATCGAAAAGAAAAAAAGAAGATATAACAAAAACACAAAACAAAAAATCAAAGAAACAAAAAGAAAGAAAGAAAGAAAGAAAAATATAATAAAAACAACAAAAATACCGAGATACAAAGACACAGAGCAACACAAAAACACAATAACTAATAATAAAATAAAATAGAAAAATAAAAAATATAAAAATAAAGATATATAGAAAATCAGAGAAAAACAAAAGAAAGATAGAAAGAAATAAAAAAAAAAAAAAACATATTGAAAGAAAACAAAAACGAAGAAAAGAAGGAAAAAGGGAAATAAGTAAAGAAGGCAAAAATTGCAAAAAATGAAAAAGGAAAAGAAAGAAAATAAACGAAAATAAAAGAAAATATATATTTTCTTGAATTTTCAATTCGATATATATGTTTTTAAAAAATAAATAAATCATAAATTCTAAAACAAAATACGAATATAATCTTTAGAAAATTAAATTATCAATAACAAACTAAAATTCGAGAAATTGAATTTAAATTATGTTAATAAAAATCCAAACAAAAATCTAAAAAACCTCCTCACAATTTCAATAACATTTCGACACCTATCATAAAACAAAAAACAAAAAATATACAACAGAATAAAAACAAAAACGAATATAATCCTTCGCCACAAATATAATAAATCAACCAAAATATCATTACAACAACTCTATAATATACGAGAAAAATACGATTTCAAAGCCGCACCAATTTATTTAAAAAGAATAGGAAAATCGGGATTTCCAAAAATAGGAAGAAAAAAAAACGAACCTTAAAAGAAAGAAATATAATATATTACAGCATAAAAATATTCTATTTATATATTAATTTCGAAGAATATATAATCGAATATATATATATATATATATGTTAACAATTTAAATATATAAAACATATAATATCCTAAAATATATAATTAGAAACGAAAAATATTTATTTTTATAATGCCAATAAATCGATATAAAAAAATTTTAAATATCAATAATAATATAACATTTTATTTGTTTTAAATCAAATTTAAATTAATTCGGATATTTCATTAAAAGCTTCTACTAACAATAAATACATTAATAGTAATAGAATTATATTAATTTTAATAAAATAAAATAAATATATTATAAGTTAATAATATAATTATAAATATATTCTATTTAAATAATAAAAACCCAAAAATCAAACAAATAAAAATAAATAAATACCAAAACACAACAATCAATATTAACCTCCAAAAAAAAACATATACATATACCTAAAATAGAATAAAAAATAACATACAAAATTAAACAACACAAAACCACAAAAAAAACAAACATAAATCCCAAAATTCCCCTAAAATTATTTTATTATTTTTCAAACCATCAAATCGCGTAAAACACCCCAAAAATTTAGCAAATTTAATCAAATTACATCTTAAATATTTTAAACAAAAATAAAAACCTTCAAATTTTCAATATCCAAATCATATTACAAAATAAAATTTATATAACAAAGAAAAAAATAAAAAATAAAAAAATAATAATTCTATAATATAAAAAATACAACCCCAAAAATACACCAATCTACAAACAAATATATTTAAAATCTATATAACAAAATAATGTATTGAAAGTAATACACAAAGCGAACTTCCACAACCCCTACTCGAAAGTCGTAACCTTTCAGTTCCAAAATAACACGTGAAGCGCGCTTCCGCAGCTCCAACTCACAAGCCGTGAGCTACGCGTGAAAAGACCCGTTAGCTTCATATCCGGAAACTAACGAAGAGGTCCATCGACTTTCGCGAAATTTTCGTAAATCTTATGCCAAACATTCGCGAAAATCCGGCTAGAAGCTATGCTCAGCTTGCCCCAACAGCTTCAAAAAATTCCCAAAAGCTAATTTCTGTTAACTAGGGATTGCTTTTGCAGCAGCATATTCTTGTGGCGACCCTCAAACTATGCATTCTCCGACCAACTTTAGTCTGCAGACTTTAGTCTACAGTCTGCAGGCATTCTGCGCGCATTACCGGTAAATACACATAATTCATCACTCAAAAATCCATTTTTGCACCACCTAAAAAACTCTGGAATGATGATTCGCCTATAAATACCAGCAATGGTTTCAACCATGGTTTCTGAGATGGTGGAGTTCGACCATCCGCAATATATTCTCTTCGCATATCATACCACCAAATGGAGACTCGAGCAACAAAAATTGGCCCCGAAAATGTAATGATTGAAACTAGAGGAAAGAATACTCCTGGAATCGCTCCAACCGCTCCAAACTTTTTTCGATCACGTGGCTTTTTGATCGAACCCGGCCCCACAGGGGCCGGATCCTCCCTCGAGCTGTTGGTGCTTCCGCCGGCTGCTTGCCTCACGAATGCACACACCGAGAGGTGTGTGGAACCTGAACCCAAAAAGGCCAGCGATGTGGGTGTGGGTACCCAAATGGGAGCCCTTAAAAATAAATGGAAACATGGACTAAAGCCTGCAGTCTCCTGGTGGCGAACATTTTGACCCATACCCATATGGGTGTGGCTCAAAATTCAAGCAGGTTTTAGTCAATGGTTCCATTTACCAAGGGGGCCATTTGAGCACATTTTTTTTGGAGCCACACCCATATAGGAACTCGGAACTTGCGGAACTCGGCCTTCACTAAGGAAGACGTGCCGAGGCTTTTTGCAACATGCCCGCCGAGACACACGACGGCAAGCGCATTGGGAACTTTCTGAAACTAGAGGTTCTGTCTTTTCTGGTTTCCCTTTACACCCACCCCCGCAAAGGATCCCCCCTCGAGCTCTTGTTTTGGGCACCGCGGGGTCCGTTTGGAGCTGTCTCGAACTCCCGTGATTAAGAATTTGCGTCCAACTCATTGCCTTCTAGGGGTTGCTCCCCAAGACGAACCACAACAACAATCAATGATGATGATTATAGTAATAGTAGTAGGAATCCTGGAAAGGGAAATGGTACTAAAAACTGCAGCAGTAATAGGGAGGAGGATGATGACGATGACGACGATGACGACGATGACGACGATGACGACGACGACGATGACGATGACGATGACGATGACGATGACGATGACGATGACGATGACGACGACGATGATGACGATGACGATGACGATGACGATGACGATGATGATGATGATGATGATGATGATGATGATGATGATGATGATGATGATGATGATGATGATGATGATGATGATGATGATGATGATGATGATGATGATGATTTGTAAAGGTGTCGTTCCCTCCCAACAGTCAGTTGCATGCATGAGGCCCTAACAAAGCCTTGTTAGGGCCTTATTTGGGGGAAACCAGAAGGAGGGGGCGGCAGTGTCTGTGGATTTGGGATTTGGGTTAGATTTGCAGCCCCAAGAAACCTTCGATCTCATTCCTTGGGTTTCGCACAGTGGCCGAACCCCTCGCAGTTCTGCAAGGGCGTCCCCAGCTCCTGGTCCTCCAGTAGAGAGGTTGGAATAAGGGTACCCTTTTTTTCTGTAGCCTTTTTTAGCAGGGGACCCCTCCCCTCAAAAAAGAAACGGGTGAGAAAGGGCACTGGGGGACCTAGGCTCAGCTTTCCACGGGTTCACAGCCTTCTTAAAGCTCAAGGCTTCAACTTCCAGCCCACCGGCCCGCCCGAACGAGGCCCGGACCCCAGGTGCGAGCATCATGACCTGACGCGCGGCCGGCGGCCGGCGCTCGTTTCACAGGGTTTCAGGGAAAGGGGGAGGGAGGGAAACAGCAGAAAGCGAACTTAGGATTGGAAGCAACCCCCTCGAGGATTGCAATGTGGATCTGCAAAAGAACACAGGGCCCTCGAAGGATCATTTCAATTGGGAAGCTTCCCCCTCCAAGACTCCCCCCCCCCCAAATGGGGTCCAAAAAACCCAGGACATTCCATTCCCGAGCATCGGGGTTGGGTCGACGTCAATCTGCCACGGAGCTCTTTTCTTTCCAGCTTGGCAGCGGACCTTTGGGGTCTTGTCAGCATGGCCTCCCAAGACAAAAACGGCTCCGCTCTGCCCCTTGCATAATAAAGGGGGCGATCCAAAAGCATCGTCGCTTCAAGCCCCACCAAGGTTTCGAGGCTGCGGCGCGGCGGGCACCGGAGCCGCATCCTTCTTCCTGAGGAAGGCGCCGGCGTGTTGCCCTTATGTGTTTGGGCATTGCTATGAGTGCGTTGAGCCCCAAAACAGGGACCTAGATGAAAGGCAAATGTTTTGCTCCCTCTTTTTGTTTTGGGCTGTGTGTCGAGCCCCAAAATACGACCCTTGCTGAACGGCAAATTCGGAAGTTGGGGATGTGATTCCACTTCCTTGTATAGCAGTCAGTATCCATGGGAAAAAGCCGTTAAACACCTAATACTTAGAAGACAACGACTGCCTACCTATAGTGGAAAGTGGGATCTGCACAAAGCAAGGACAGGCCTTGCCTTGGGATGTATTTGGGTATTGGATCCCGAAAGGCTTGTTGTTCACTGGCCAATTCCTCAGGCCGGAGAAAAACACATTTGCCAAGTAGCTCGGCCAACCCAGGCTACCCACTTCTACGGCAACCGTCGGGGAGTCGAACTTGCCAATTGATTATGGGTCACACTTAAACCATCAGGATAAGGACCACAGGTTTGGTCCATGTTTCCACTTACTAGGGTTCCATTTGGGTACCTATTCTTGAACCACAGCCAATTCGTCTTGCCAGGCAAAGCCAAGAAAGTGACAATGTCCGCGTGCACAAGCAAAACAAATATGAAGAAAGCAAGCGAGCAAATACAGCAAGCTGGAAGGCCGGCCAAAAACAAAACAACCACTCCCCAACAACCACAAACTCCTGGTTGATTCATTTCAAAGTGTTCATCCACCAGGTTGATTCAAGGCGAAACACAAACGCCCGCCGAGTCCAGCTTTCAAACTGAGTCGATTCTGGGTATCGGCAACACTGTCTAGACATGTTCATCTACCCCAAAAATAGCTGTATTGTCAAGTCTCCGTAAAAACAACTACAATTAGTGCCAACCAGCAGAAGAGCAAACAAAAAAACGTGGCATCTCGTTGGCGGCCCCTTCTTGTTACCATGCATGTCCATGTCCTTCTGGCTTTCCCCAAAGGCTCCAATGCGTCCAACCGATGCGCCTGACCCCCTCCCCCAATCCCCCCCCCCCCCAAGTTGCAAGGCGCGGAGGAGGCCCCAAGCGCTTAGGCACCGCGGTGAGACCTGCAATCCACGGGAACCGCAGGAACGACTTTGTTCAAAGCGTGGGTGCTATCCCCAGCCCCAGGAACCCAATCTCCTCCCTTTGGTGTCCAAACCCCAAACAGGTAGAATCAATAAACAGAGACTCCCATTTCAGGCAATTGGACCAAGCGCCAGGGATCCTTGCCGCGCCTCTCTAGTTCGCTGCTCGTTTTTTTCTCGAAACTGCCCGAGGCGAGATGGCTCCTTCGTCTTTTTGGTTTTTCGAAACGCCCGAATCAAGTTCCCACAGGGATCCTTAAACACCTGAACATTGCCTTGTCAATAGTGGTTTCCCTTTATTCTGGTGAAAAAGATCATGTTTCATTTGGTGGAAAAAGCAACATGTTTCATTTTGGCTGCAAAACCTACCTTTTAAGGAGCCCTGCTCCTCGGTGCCTTGGATCCACAAGCGCTGACTGGTTTGGAGTGCAGACACACAAACCAACACACTTGAGGCGATCCTCGAGGTGTTGGGCAGAAAAAGAAGAAGAAAAAAAACAAGCAGGGGTTGAGGCCCAAAGGAAAAAAGTGGAAAAACAAAAACACATTGAAAACTGCCCGGCGGCTTGGCTGAAATCTCTGGTTTGTGCTGGGTGAACCTGGCCAACTGGCCTGGTCCTGCCGGTTTCTTTCGGCCAAAGGCCTCTTCCCTCCGTAAGAATCTGCTCGACACTGCCCACAAAGGGCACATACACCACGTTTGGTTCCACAAAAACTTCTCAAAGGTTCAGAGATCTTGGGCCACCTGGAAATCAAGCATGGAACACCAAAAGGGGGCATCCCCAAGATTCTTGGCGCCCTTTTCGGTTCCACGGTTCATTTCCAGGTTGACTGCTCGTCACGCTGCCTTGCAAACCGCACATGGCTCTGTGACATATCCCGGGCCACTGGCATACGGGCACGGCAAGTGGACCACCAGCCAGACCCGGGAGTTTGGCATTTTGTATTTTTGTTTTCTCAGCTTCAAAGTTTGTTCGAAGAGAATTCGTTCATTGTTGAATTGAAACTATCACCGTTTCTGGCTTGAAGACAAATTAAATTTCCGCGTTCGAAGAGAGCTCCTATCGTTCTTTTCTTCCCCCAATTGGTGGTTTGGAGTGGTGGTGTGGATTGGTTTTCTCACGTACCTCCACAAGAACCAGGGGTTCCAATCCCCACCAATCCAAACCACCACCCAAGAAGGGTCACCTGATTGTCTCAAGCGGGCAAACAACCATTGCCCGATAAAATCCGATACCTCCGGCAAGGATACGTCTGCGGCTTGCGCGCCCTCAAGGGGATCATGCAACAAAAGCAGCTCTAGCAGTTCTTGGCTCTGGTCCTTCCGATGCTTTCGGGGAAAACATGGGGGAAAAATGGCATCTCTTTTCGGGAGGATCCCCCATTTCAGGCCCTCCCGTTTCCCCTTTTCAGGACACAAGAGGGGTCCCTTGGTTGGTTTCTACCGGCTGGCCCCTTCTGTATTCCCTTTTGAATCCAAGTGGAAACTGCTAGGTCCCACCCTGCAAAAAATCGGGAACCACCGAACATGGCCAAGAGTTACCCTCCGCTCCACTAACATGGAACCCACCAAAAAACCCGGTCCCTTGAGAAAAATGGCCCAAAAAAGGACCCCCCTGTAAGGTTCCATGTGTACTGGGCTGCTCCCAGATCCCCTGCTAGAAGTCGAACACTTGTGGTTTAAATGGAAACCTAAACCAACCAAAAACATCCCAAAAACCTACTGTGGATGGACGAAATCCTGCACCACCTAAGAATGGAATGATGATTCCCCTGTAAATACCAACAAACCATGTTTTCAACCATGGTTGCAAAGTGGTGCGAACGGATTTCGCAACCATCCAAAGTACAGCTAACCTGTGAGTTAACTGAAATCTACCACCTTTCACCCACCAAAAACACCGAGAAAATCCACCTTTCTGGAACCGGACCACGGACCTGCCTGCCAGCTTGCTGAGCGCCAGTGGCTTGGGCTGAGGCACGTCCTCAGCAAATTGAGAGCTTTTCTTGGCTGCTGGAACGACCCCCCTGCAAAAAGTGAATAACTTTTTTGGGGGGGTTAGTGGAAAACCCAACTTGACTTCAACCGAAAAGTTAAAGAGTCTAAAGATCCGTTACCCAATAGCAGTCAAGTGTTTGGGCTGGAGTTTGTTTTAGGAATCCCCCCACCCAAACCAAAAGTGACTGAAGTCCGAAACGGAACTCAGGAAGTGAGTTCAGGGACTCAAAAATGGGTACCAAAACGGAACCCTGTTGCATGGAAACAAAGACTAAAACCACGTGACCCTAGCTCTTTAATTTTGAGCCACACTCATATGGCAGTGTGCCTCATCTTTTTAAGGGCTGTGTTAAAATGGGCGGCGCGTGCTTTTTCTCACCGATCGAGTGGATTGGCAACGAACAAGCCACCAAACTGTTTGTTTGCCACTCGAATGGTCCAACCCCAAAACTGACTAAAGTCCGAAACGGAACTCAGGAAGTGAGTTCAGGGACCCTCCCCCCCCAAACCAATATGGTGGTCTTCCTTCTGGCTTCCCTTTGACACCAACCAACATAAACGGGGTACTGAGCCTCAAGAGAAGACCAGCCACCCATGTGCTGTCCCTTTTGTTCCCCTTGAACACAACAAAAAACCGGGATATCCCTCGGGGGAGGAAAAAAAAAGCCGAAATGGCAACCCCCTGAAATGGCGGGTTTCTGTTTGGTGTTTGGTGTCCCAATATCACAGTGAAAAGGAAACGGGCGGCGGGTGCCCTTTACCTTTTCGGGGGTGCCCCGTTTTTGGGTGGTGGGAATCATGAAGACACTCTTATTTTGGGAAACGGACGCCTTTCCAGTGAAACTCCGCCAGTTCCGCGATCTGAAATTGATCGAACGGCTTCGAACCCTCACTACCAGCATGGGGAAAAACAGGCTTGAAACGTTGTCAGCTCATGCACCACGTCCACTTCTATTGTCCACTCCTTTTGTGGTCAACCCACTTTTGGATGGTGATTCAATGGGCATCAAACGGGAAAGCTACGACTTGCAAATAGCTTCCCCTCATTTTAGAGCATGTCGAGTCTGAGAACGCCCACAACCCATTGACTCTTGGGATAATATCGACCATACTACCCTTAGAGAAATCAGCTAGAACCACCCAGAGACATCGGTTTGCGGCGCCCAAAGCCATCCACTCGTCGCAGACACTGTCGCGGCCGGGGCACTGTCCCAGCACTCGTGCGGCCCGAGTTCGGCGTGGGGGCTCCTGATGGGAATGGCAGCCGCAGATTACGTGGAACCCAACAACCATCATGTTCAGAGGAGGCTCATTGGGGTGTGGCTCAAAATGAAAGAGCTAGGGTTACGGGGTTTTAGTCTTTGTTTCCATTTACCAGGGTTCCATTTTGGGTACCCATTTTTGACCACAGCCACTAATGTCATTTTGGAAGTCCATGTTGCTTTGCGGCGGGGAAACCCGCTTTGGGATTGATCTGCGCTTTCGGATCCTTTTGCGCAGAACAAACGTCCCCGGCACACAATGCGACATGCTCTGGTGCCCATGGTACTCCAACAGGAACATCCAACGTGCCCGAAATGCAGAGCAAATGCGGGCTCCAGCCAGAATCTGTTCCAAGCATAGGTGGCCTTTTGGAAAAATAGATGGCCCTGGTAAATGGAATAAACCACATCTAAACCAGGGCCCTCTATCTTTTAAGCAAACCATCCAAAAAGGACACCTATGGTTCCAAGTTGCGATGGGGTGCCGACCAGCCGCGACGCGCGCTGAACTCAAGGCATGCTGCATCAACAGAGCAACGATGCGAAGTCAACCATCTGCTTCCCGGATGTCACTGAACCACTGCGGCTAGAATGCCTTCCAAGGAGACTGAACAAACTTGAAACCGGGCTCCTTGCCAGTGGGAGTTGCAAAATCGATCGCCCAGGATGCTCCGATCCCTGCGCCCCCCCCCCCCCCCCAACTCCACACCCCCCGAGCCATGAGCCGGGGACCCGTACCCTTGTCGCCTGCCACCTAAGTCTCGAGCTGAGCGGCTCGAGGCTTAATAAGGGAGGGAGGAAACCAAAGACCCAGGAAGACGTTTGCAAGGAAGGTTCTCAACTACGGGCAGGTTTCGAGCCGAAAAGTGATCCACATAGAATCCGAAATAGAAAAGAGAGGAGAGATAGGACGCAGCATGTAATATATATATATATATATAGTGTGGAAGCCGTAAAAAGGCCCAACGGATGTCAAACGTCGCGGCCGTCGCGTATGCTCCAAATACGAGCCGAAAAGACCGGTGTCGAAGCTTTCCAGTGGTTTGCAACCAAGCAATCCGACTCTGCCGTGTTCTAGGAAATGAACTTCGGGGGTATTCCTTTGGCTCCACAACCGCCCCATCTTGAAGGAAGTGGTTCGAATTACACCAGCTCGCACCCAGGCTCTCTCGAAAAAATCCTCACTGAGGCCACCACACGCCTGCGGCACTCCTCGTTGCGAGCAAAAGAAGGAAGCTGACGCAGGATGATGGGCTTGGTGCTGGTTTCTGTCTGCTTGGGTTGGCTCGTTGCTTGCTTGGTAGTTGGTGGCTTGGGTGGTCGGGGTGGTTGGCGGGTTGGTTGGTTTGGCTGGTCGGCCGAAACCACTGGTTGAAACCGGTCCAATTCCCCGGAGGCAAACCTCCCCCCCCCCCCACGAGGTCCTCAATGATCCACTTGGTGGGGTCGCTCAAGACGGCTTCAGCATTCGCTTGGTCCAAGTCGTTGAGGATCCTGGCGCTCATAGCTTCCGTGTTGGTGAGCCCGTGTTTGGCTTCCGTTCTCTCATTTGCCCAAAAGAACAAAGGCTCCCAAGACGTCCCTGATCACAAGCTTGGCTCGGAACATCCCCGCGACCCTCCCAGCTCAGGCCGACCAAAACGGTCGAACAAAAACCAGCTGGGCCTTCAACATGTCACACCCTCTCCCCGTCCAATCGCGGCTTTTCTCCGCAAACACAACATGAGAATGGATCGGCGATCGATTCCAACGCACCTAAAACCGACCCACTCGACTTGGTTCAACTCCACCCAAAAAAAGAAGACTTCTGACTGGGTTCAACTCCACCCCACCCCCCAAAAAATATATCTAAGACAAGGAAAACAAAAAACACCTGCTCCCCTTCGCTGTGGTTCCGCTGGGCGACACGGAGACAAGGCACGCCTCATGGCCACGCGGGGGTCGGTGCTGCCCAAGGTAGAGATGACCTCCTCAATATGTTTTAGGTTTGTTTGTTATTTGTTGTGTTTTTTCTGTATTGGTATTATATTGTTTGTTTCTTGCTATATATACATGTATATGGTTTTCTTTGATAAAAGAAGAAACAACAAAACAAGAAGCGCCTTTCCTGGGCTGTCCGTGTTCAGATCTCATCCCCTGCTATTAATTCGGAACCCCCCCCAAAAAAAAAAAGCGCGCAGGGACCGGATGGCTGGGAGCCACCAAGTTTCATGGACCCCCAAGGGGGGAGAACTGGGGAGGGGCGGAACTCCCGGAATCAACCCCTGAATAAGGCTTAAAAGGACTTATCAGCTTATGGGCGTATCCAGGGATCGCCCCTAGGGGTCCATGAGCCTTGCTCGCTGCGCGGGTTCCTCTTCCCTTCGTAGGTGGCTGGAACTGGGGAAAAATGGACTTAGATGGGCTTCCCTGACAAATGGAAGCCATCAAACCTGCGGAACCCATCTACTTCGGAGAGATGGAGAGACAAACCCTACGGATTTGCGCCTGGAACCCATTTGCGCCTGGAACCCATTTGCGCCTGGGACCCAACAAACCTAGACGAATATCCTTGTGGGAAACTGTCCTGGGTTCCATGATCCGCTGAGAACGTCCTGTCTTCGCGCTCCCCTGATCTGCGCCAAAGATGGGCGAGACCGGCCATGCCGCCGGCAAGGCCGGCCCCTAAGGTCGATGAGAACGCTGATTTCCAGTTGGGGACACCCCATCTGTGGGACACATCGCACTCTGAATCCACCAGGTGAACACCAGGGTGAAAGTAGATGGATGATGCACTTGGAAAGCAACGGGGATGTCCCTTTCTTTGGGTCAAAGGGGGGTTAGACCATTGTTGTTCTGATTGGGGATGTTCGACATCAGGAAATACCTCAGCTTCCCGCTTGTTTGTGGTTCGGGGGCTTTCCTTTTACCCTGCCACCAATCCAAACCAATTAAGGGAGACCTGAACTTTCGCTCTAGCACCCCCTCCAACTGGGAACCCATTGATCCCTAACCCGTGGGAAGCCTTGGGATGTTGGATGAATCTGTTTGCTTTACCAGACGGTAGCCTGTCCTCTCAATCCAAACCACGAATTCGAAGGTGCACCTCTTTGTCTGGGTAGTTTGAATAGGCCCTCATTTTGTCCGCAGGTGCCGTTTGCTTGTGTATGCCGAGTGTTGCTGACGTGGTTTGCAAGGCTCGCTCCCCAATCCAAACCACCAACTAAGGGCTACCTGATCTTGTCGGTGTGTGTTTTCCGAAGGTGCATCTCTTTGTTTGGGTGGTTTCAACAGGCCCGTGTTTTTCTGGTTACCCTCACCCTCAATCAATTTCGGCCCCCATGAAAAAACGAAAAAAAACGACCACGTCGGGCTCAACCCTGTGAGCTGTGACCTGAACTTGTCTCCTGGAAGCGGATAGGCGCCAGCAGGTGCCCATGCCGATTGTACCTGGCGCACGGCACGGTGCCTCTATTGGGTGGACCCTGCGTTTCCTTTTCTGGGCTGTCCTCAGATCCCCCTTTCAAAAAGTGACTAACTTTTGGTGGGTTACATGGAATCCCCCCACTAAACACTAAAAAGCTCAAAAAGCTAAGGAACCGGATGGCTGGGAGCCACCAAGTTTTGGTTGTTTTCTTTAAACCACCAAACAGGTACCGGTACCCTCCAAAAAGGCAAAGATAGACGTCCGCTCGATTTGCTTGCTTCAAGAGAAACCAGAACACGATCAACCATATTGCCAGTGACTCACATGCTTTGGTTGTGCTTATTTCTTTACCAGAAAAACGTGGGGGAAATTGGGGGAAGCCTCTGGTTCCCTTGCTAAGAGTTAAACCTGCAAATGAGGCAGCTCATAAACTCGCTTCCCGAGTGGATGGCCCAAAAACAGGCCAAGACTTGTTATTTACCACTAAAATGGTCCAATCCCAAACAGCGACTAAAGTCCGAGTCCCGGAACTCAGGAAGCGAGGCTTTTCCCCCCACTCCAAAAGTCAAAAACCGCCACCAGCCCAACCTCCGGGAACTGAACCGAGCTTTACCCGCGCCTTTCAAAGGCCGCCCCGTGTCAGGCCTTATATACTCCCCTTAAACCATCACCCCAGAAAACAAACTGGCCTTAAAACGGGCCCAAACAAAAAAAGGCGGATGTGTCAACCCACCCAAAGGAGAAGATCGAGGGGCCCTTCGAACTTCTCCGCGCTCGGGGCGCTCAAAGCCAAGCGCAAAGCCGGGGGCCCTGCAGGGGTTCAGCTGCCAGTAAAATTTGGTTGACGTTGGGTTTGGGGAGCAAACATTCTCAAATTTTAGCAGTTAAGTGGATTTGGATTTCAACCACTAAACCACAATAAGCAAAAATGTAAAATGTGTCCCAACTGGAAGCCGCTGTTGGACCAAGAAGAAAGATTGGAGGAAAAGAAGCGCCAAGCGCTTGTTGACATGAAAAACCCATGCTTATAGCCATTCTTTGCCTAAGGATTCTCATCCAAATTGGGTCCTTGCCTTTCTTTCTATGGGGGTTGAACCCTAGGGTCGCCATACTTAAATAAAAAAAGAGTCGTTCCCTTCGTTTCCCTTTCCATGAGCTAACAGGTTGAAAGAAGCCCCAAATCTTGGTGCTGGAACGACCCCCCTGCAAAAAGTGAATAACTTTTTGGGGGGGTTAGTGGAAAACCCAACTTGACTTCAACCAAAAAGTTAAAAAGTCTAAAGATTTGTTACCCACTAGCAGTCAAGAAATGCTGGCATCCGTTCTGGTGCAGCAACTTCTAGGTGTGAAACTTCGGCGACGCGCGTCAAAGCTTGGAAAGCCAAACGCTTAGGCCGTGACCATTTTCAGGGGGGACACCCTTTTCTTTGACCCCACCATGCCTTTGTTTTGGACCCCCTCCTTTTTTTGACCCCCACATTCCTTGTTTTTGACCCCCCATTCCTTTTCTTTGACCCCCCCATACCTTGTTTTTGGCCCCCACATTCCTTGTTTTTGACCCCCCATGCCTTTGTGTTGGACCCCCTCCTTTTTTTGACCCCCACATCCTTGTTTTTGACCCCCCATTCCTTTTCTTTGACCCCCCCATGCCTTGTTTTTGGTGACACGCCCCACCGGACCCGTGGAGGCGTTTCTTTTTGGAGGGTGGGGGGGGGGGGGGATGACAGCGACCATGTCCATGTGGAGGCGTTTCTTTTTTGGGGGTGGGGGGGGATGACAGCGACCATGACCATGTTGCCAGACCCGGCAGGCGCGGCTTTGGTGTCTTCTGCGTGTGGCGGGGGGGGAAGAGGCGGGCGAACTGCGCCCCCGCAGGCACGAGTTTGGCTGGAGCAGGGCATGTGGCATGTGGCAAGCGGAGTGATGGGCACTTCAAAAGCAAACCGCATGAATACACACACAAACATCCCATCCAACAACAACAACAACAACGTCAACAACAACAACACACGCACGTCCTTACTTTCGCACTTCGTTGGGCACCCATGGAGTCGGTCTTGGAGCCAGTCGCACTGCTTATTCTGCTACGCCTGGCACGGGTGTCGTTGCCTCCTGGTTTGGATGGCTGGCGGGCACGCAGCAGATTGATCGCTGCTGGCATCACTTGAAAAATATCATGCCCAGTGAGATGAAGAGCCGCGGTCCCAGCGGCCTGATCAACAGTCGCCTGTGGACGAGAGCATACCAATTCTTGTATAGACGGTCTTTGTGTGCCTGACATATTAAACATGTGGTCTCTGTGGCAAAGAGATAAAACAAGCAGTGCCCGATGCCAGCATGTCAATGCATGAAAGCTGCTGTTAGATACAAACGAACTTTTTGGCACCTTGCGGCATGCTCCTTCAGCAGATTTGAATGGTAAACGCGCGTTTTTGCGCGGGTCCTGCTGAGCGTGCGACCTTGTTTTTGGACCTCCTCCCTTTTTTGACCCCCACATTCCTTGTTTTTGACTCCCCCATTCCTTGTTTTTGACCCCCCATTCCTTTTCTTTGACCCCCCCATGCCTTTGTTTTGGACCCCCTCCTTTTTTTGGACCCCCACATTCCTTGTTTTTGACCTCCCATTCCTTTTCTTTGACCCCCCCCCCCATGCCTTTTTTTGGACCCCCTCCTTTTTCCGACCCCCACATTCCTTGTTTTTGGCCTTTTGTTTGGACCCCCTCCTTTTTTTGACCCCCACATTCCTTGTTTTTGACCCCCCCATTCCTTTTCTTTGACCCCCCCATGCCTTTTTTTGGACCCCCTCCTTTTTTTGACCCCCGCATTCCTTCAGTTTGACCACCCCTTTCCTTTTTTTGCAACTCCCAAGTAGCAAGCAGGAACAAGTCTGCGAACTGTGACCATCCCAACGCCATGATGTGTGGCCCAACGTTCCACTTTCTGACCCCGAGGTAGACTTAACCCAATGGGTTCATTTCTCCCTGCGGCTTGTTCGTCTTCCTTGGGGTAGTCCAAAAGTGGAACCCGGTGTCTGCCATGTTTGACCCTAACCCAAAAGAAGTCTTCGCACCAGGGACCAGGTCCTCCAGATAGAGAGCTTAGAATAAGGGTACCCGATGCTTTTTTGCTGCAGTCTATTTTAGGGGAACCCTCCCAACCAAAAAAGTCGGTGAGACGTCGGGCACGCTGGGAGACCTAGAACAACTTCTGACATCTCGGGGAGCTCAGATCGATCGATCGGGAGGGCACCAGTTGATGGTCCGGCGCATCTTGGCCCGGAACCTCAGGATTCGCGGCTCCGGGGCGGCTCCGCGGGCTCCAAAGCTGCGGTCCCACTGGGAGATGACAGAGACCCCACGAGCCGAGGCAAACCCCCTTCGCAACCCGCACCGGCCGCGCGGCCGCTCGACCCAACAAAAATTGGACCCCGGAAATGCGGTGGGGTCCAATAAAGGCGCGCGGCTCATCCGTCTCCTCCTCAGGCTCGTCTTTGCCTGGGAGCCACGGTGGCTGGAGAATATGCTGGACAGCGGCTGAAGGAAAGTGGTCCCAAATCCTTCCGTCGGCTTCTTCGAAAGGGCAAAGCTGCGATTCTGCAAAAGAGCCCCGGGAAAAAATTTACTTCGCATCGAGCAATCCCCACCCTCCACACTCACGAGCTTACGACCGTTACAGCAAATTCCTCCGCATCCTAGAGACTTCGACTCCAAACTCCTATCAGCCCTTTAGGACATTAAGCGCAACCAGACTGGCGAGCTGCTCTGGATACTGGCGGGATCCACTGGCGAATACTGGCGAGCCGCTCCGGCTCGATCCCACCGGCAAGGGATACTCAGCGGGAAACTTGGCGGGATCCACTGGCGAGCTACTGCGCGATGCTCAGCGGGACACTCGGCGGGATCCACTTGCGGTCTGCTCTGGTGGGATACTCGGCGGGATCCACTCCACTGGCGAGCTACTCTGGGATACTCAGTGGGACACTTGGCGGGATCCACTAGCGGTCTGCTCTGGTGGGATACTCGGCAGGATCCACTCCACTGGCGAGCTACTTTGGGATACTCAGTGGGATACTTGGCGGGATCCACTAGCGGTCTGCTCTGGTGGGATACTCGGCGGGATCCACTGTGGCGGGACTGGCGAGCCGCTCTGGCGGGATACTCGGCGGGATCCACTGGCGAGGGCTACTTGGCGGGATCCACTGGCGAGCCGCTCTGCTCGGCGGGATGCTCGGCGGATCTGGCCGCTGGAGCACTCGGCGGGATCCACCGGCGAACTGCTCTGGCGGGATACTGGACGGGATCCACTGGCGAGCAGCTCTGGCGGGATACTCGGCGGGATCCACCGGCGAACTGCTCTGGCGGGATACTGGACGGGATCCACTGGCGAGCAGCTCTGGCGGGATACTCGGCGGGATCCACTGGCGAACTGCTCTGGCGGGATACTGGGTGGGGGCGTGGTGTAGAAGCATCGCAAACGCGGATTCCAACATAAAATCTAACAACCCCTTCCTGTCGGGTGGGGAAAAACACAAAAAACGCCTCGGTGAATCATTGTGCCTTGCTGGAAGTGTGTGTAAAAAAGGTCGCCTCGGCAAGAACAACTCAAACTGGAGCCCAGCCATGGTGCTCAGCCATGTCGGTGGATGGCGCCCGGGGCGGCGTATTGAAGGATACTCGCTCCAAATCGCTGCGAAATCGTGGAGTTCCAACCTTTTTGGCCTTTGGAGGCCGTTACTTTTCAGACATGTTGTTCCAGTTCAAAAGTTTTTCCACTCAGCACATATGATCGGACCCAAAACCCCCAAAATATGGGTTGGGGTCCTCCTTGGTTTCCCTGCAAAACACCAAAAAAGGGCACCCTCCCGAGAACGACTCCAAGCGCTGCCGAGGTGCCCTTTCCAGCCCCTGGCAGGACATGACCGAGGGGGCAACCAGCTTCCGGCCGTTGACTCTAAGAACCCCAAGCAACCAAATGTGTGCCTCGTCTTTTTGCGGGTGTTTTAAGTGCTTTTTCTCTTTTGTTTTGTTTGTTGTGTTTGTTCGTGGTGTTCTTTCTTGTTTTCCTTCTTGTCTTTTCTTTTTTTCTTTTTTTTTTTTTGGGGGGGGGGGGGGGGGCGAACCTAAAAATGACATAACCAAATGCAGAAAAGCTATGACGCTAGTTACTAGTTGATGTGAAACCACAAGCAAAGCATGGGCCTTTTCGGGCATGCGACGCGAAGAGAGAAAAAAGAAAGAACATGGGCTTCACACCAAAAAATCGGCCTGGGATCGGATTCAAAGCGCTGCTGTTTCATACCAGGGGTGTCTTTCTGGCACCTTTCGTGAGAAAATTGGCGACCCTCTCAAAAAGGATTCCTTCACTACGAGGGGGTCGATCATTTTTCCACAAAAGGTGGCAAAAAGACCCCCCTGTTTCACGATCGGCCTGCTGTTAAGGAAGAGATCGAAAGCATCAAAACCGCAACACAGCGCCTCTTCGCGGAAAGAGGATGGCCCGCACAAGTCTGCCCCCTCCAAATACCCTCTTTTTCTAGGTGTTTTTTTTGGAAAACCCGGGTTTCCATGGTAAATACCTCCTTTTTTAGTAGAGGGTCGACATCATACCCCAAAAAAAGAGGGTATTTGGAGTAGGGGGTGTAAGTCCCGGTGCCATCCTCTGACCATACGGGAAAGTGCTCTCTTTCCTGACTTCAGACCTATGTGCGCGGGTCTAAGCATCTAGAAAAAGCCTCTGCAGTGACACGGAAGTAGGCCTACTTTGTCACCATGAATGGGATTAAGCCTCCCTTCCAGTTGGCCAGGCGAAAAAGGACAGCTTTCTTGAATGTCGGTTGAATATCGCAATCCCCTTCAAAAAGTGACAAGTTCAAGGGTGTATCAAACTTGGAGACCCCAGGTTTCCTTTTGGTTTGCCCCTCCCCCCCCCCCCCCGGATTTTGAGACACCCTCCGCGCAATGTCAGCGAGCCCAGTCGCCCCAAGCCAGGCCTTTGCCCTTGTAGCCTTGGCCCTTCTCGGCGGGTTCCTGGCCTCATTTCCCGACGTGCGATGCGAATGGGTAGGGAATGAGTTGGAACGAGCCCAGGGGTCCCCTGGAAGGAAACCACCCGTTGGATATATTTTCAGGAGTCAATTTCTCGGGGGTGCTGAGCACCAGCAAGAGGACTGTCTTCCGGGCATTGCGTCTTGCAAGAAGCGCACGCCACTTCCAAACCCCCCCCCCCCCTCCGCCCATTCCTTTTGGGCGGCTTCTCGAACAGGGATCCTGAACATTGCAACTTGTAAATTGTGGTTTCCCTTTATTTTGGTGTTGACTTTTAGGGAGCCCTGTCGAACATCCCATTTCGTCATCTGGGAAGCCACTGTCTCAATTGGATTGGTTAGACTGAACCGGTCTTCCAAACACCTAGTAGGCGTGTCTGTTTGTTTAGGACCTTACCCCCGAAAATCTCGTCGGTTGCTCGACTTCCCGAGCCCAGATTGAGGTCCAACGAGCACGGGTGACCTGGCCAAATCGATGGGTTTCCCCGGCCAATGGAAATGAAACCCATCTAAACCAGTGGGACCCATCGATCTTCTAGCCAAACGAATTTGGATCAAAGGGACAAAACTTGAAGTCCATCGAGTTTCCAGTGACCCTCTGATTTTTCCCCAAACAGCGAAGCATTGGGGTTCTAACTTGAGGTATGGAGAGTAGGAAAGTGTGACGCCGATTCCGGGGTCCTGTTTTCCGCTTGTCTTCCTGTCTCCCAGTTTTTTTTCGGTCAGATGCCAGATGCTGTGACGCTGGCTCCGGGGTCGTGTCCCGCTTGTCTCCCTGTCTCTCCCAGTCTCTGCGGTCAGGTGCCAGATGCTGTGACGCGGGCTGCGGGGTCGTGTCTCCCGCTTGTCTCGCCAGATGCTGTGACGCTGGCTCCGGGGCTTCTCTCCCTGTGTCTCCCATCTCCCGTTTTTTGTGACGCTGGCTCCGGGGTCGTGTCTCCCGCTTGTCTCCCAGTCTCTGCGGTCGGATGCCAGATGCTGTGACAATGTTTCGCAACGGGGAAAGGGCATGTCGCAGATTTTGCTGCTAGCCTGCGTGCAAAGGATGTGCCTCTCTCTTGGCCAAGCGCAGGTTTGCATCCTTGTGGAGCATTGTTGGAGCTAGAAACAAGCAATGTCGAACCTTCGTGACATCCGGCTGATTGCTTTGCTCAGGAAACTGAGCTGCTTTTTAGAAGCCAGTGCCGCGCTTCTTGGCCAAGTGCAGGTTTGCATCCTTGTGGCGCATCAGCAGAGCCCTGTCGAGCCTTAATTGCTTGGCCAAGTGCAGGTTTGCAGCCTTGTGGCGCATCAGCTGAACAAATACCGTGACATCCGGCTGACACTGAGCTGCTTTGCGGAAGCCAGCGCCGCACTTCTTGGTCACGCGCAGGTTTGCATCCTTGTGGCGCATCAGCAGAGCCCTGTCGAGCCTTAAATGTGTCCATTTTTCTCGGTAACCAACTATACATCCGCCTGATTGCTTTGCTCAGGATTCTAAGCTGTTTTTTGGAAGCCAGTGCCGCACTTCTTGCTACTAGCGAGTTGCACTGGCAAAATGCCACTAGCAAAATGGCGCAAGCCAGTAGCACGAGCAAGATAGCGCTAGCCAGATGCACGAGCCAGTAGCGCTAGCCAGTGGCACTAGCAAGTAGCACCAGCAAGTGGCGCTAGCAAGTTGCAGCGGCAAGCGCTGCGCGCAGAGAGCTTGCTCAGACAACTTGCTCATTGAAACTTGTTCAGAGAAACTTGCTGAGAGAACTTGCTCAAATAATTTGTGCCAAGAACTTGCTTGGAAAACTTGCTCAAAGGAACTCGCACCAACAACTTGCTCAGAGCAACTTGCGCAGAGAACTTGCTAGGATTACTTGGCGCCGTGCGCTGCTCATGCCTTCGGGCCACCCATCTTCTAGTCTCCTCTTGGTAGCATCACAGTTCGAGCACCCTTTCTTGTTGGCAGTGCTGTTGTAAACCTTGCCTCCTATCTTGTTGCCAGTATTTAGCACCTTCTCAGTTGGATAGCCATGTGGCCCGGCCAAAATCATATCCAGTCTTTCGCGTCGCTAGACGCTTTTCCCTCATTGCAACCTATGTAATCCAGTCCCACTGACAAACGCATTTTGCTGAAGCATTTCACACCTTCGTGATGGCAAGGTCGCAGCTTTGACATATCTCGTTGCCTCCTGACAGAAGGGTTGACAACAGATTCCCCAGCCTTGTTTCCACATATGCGGAATATGGGCGCTGCTGTTTTGCAGGTGTCCGAAAGTGCCCAGGGCTTGCAAGTGCGAGGGCTCAAGGGTTTTCATGGCGGGACGTCGTAAGGTGCCATTCTCTGCGGCACTAGCTTCCCTACAGTCTCTGGACCCATGGAACACCAAAGGGGTCAACGTGAGCTGTATTGCATGGCCCTTGTGCTAGCCTCCCGCAGTGAGTAATTTTGGAAATCGGAGCAATTCCATTTCATTCTTGCAATCAACGTTCTTTTCCGAGATCTCGACTTGAATTTGGCAGCTCCGGGCGAGATTCTGATTTACAAGATTCTGATTTACTTGCTCGCAGCATACGTGGCTTGTCGGGAAACCAAGCTGGAGGGATGTGTTGATAGCATCAAGACCAACACATGCTACAAACATGGTCCATCCATTTCTTCTTTGACGACACAGATTGCGAAAAGGACACACGGTCATGGCCATGTTTCGACACATGTTCGGCGGCTGAAAAATCTAATAAGAGTTGCTAACGCCGCCGCCGTGTTTGATGGTTTCTTTTTGGGGCCATCAACAGGAGCCGTTTCGCCAATCGCAGAGTGGCTTGGTGGTTTCCTGGTTACTTGCTCTTGGAGATCTGGTGCTATCGCAGAGGGGACGAACGAACACACAGTCAAGCAGGCGTGCTTATCATCTTGTTGGATCGTAGGGGGGTCCGAGCTCCAAGGTTTTTTCTGACCGGTTTCCAGAAAGAATGGTCCTGGAAGTAAAGCCTGGGTGAGTCGGGTCCCCAACCAAACCATTAGCTTGTAAGAGTTGTTCGGTTGATGCATAGGAGCCTTTTCCTGGCAACCTACTTCGCTGACCTTGACAAATTGGAAAGAGTTCATGAACCCGGCCAGTTGACTGTCCCGCTGGAGCTGAGTGAACGCAAGGCCCAGAAGTTGTTGCCAGCGGCGTGCGCTGGAATGACTGCCGCCGGTCGTTCACCGCACATGTGAACACCAATCTGCGAACCATAAGCGCCAACTCCAAGATGAACCCGGCCGAGCTGGTGGTGTCCACTGTGCAGCCAGCATTGGTAAGTTGGGGCAAAGTTCTCACACGTTTCCGCGATGGAGCAGGGCTGGAGCTGACATTCAAAACCAAGCTTGTTCCGGGATGGAGCGGCGTTGGGCGCATGGAGCAAAGCCATGCGTTGGCCATCTTGGGAGCACGCGGCGCGCTGGACACGACAGAGATGAAGACCCTGGATGACCAAGCTACTGCCGGCTCAAACACTGAGGATTTTCTGGAGCTGCGCCGGGTGACAGGGGTGCGCGCCAAACGGGCACCTTTGCTGACGCTTGCCAATTTGGCGCGGCGTGTGTCTGCGTTGCTAGGCGAGGATGTCCTGGCCGTAACGCTACAAGGCGCAGTCTGCAAGTTTATGCAAGTGCTCTCTTGCTTTGCTTGTGGCAAGACCTTTTGCCGAGCTCGAAAAGAAGATAGCAACCAGAAGTGACATGTGTCCAGTCTCGGCCGCAGGCTGCTGAGACTGATGCGCCAGTTTTAGCAGAGTAGCGAGACGGCCACCAAATGCTGCGGTGATGGAAAAGTGCATTGAGTGTCCGTGCTACGACAGTTCCCTCGAAACTTCCTTTGATTAATGCCAGGTGTTAGGTGTTAGGTTGATTCACCCCGAATCCCCGGGGCCTTCACTCTCGAACATGGCATTGACATGAATTTTCTCCTCGAAGTCGATGAACAACATCGATGCTTTTACCCGGCGTCAAGGAGATGGATGGACCCGATGTGTCCTCTTCCCAAAAAAGGGGACTTCTTGCAGGGACATACATGGACTGATTGTAACTATGTGTTGCTCACATAAGCTACACAAGTTCGCACCTTACATGAAGGAGACAAGCCTTTTTGTTGGGCTATACAGACCGGTCATGCTTTTTTGCTGTTTGGGGTCGAGGCTGGTGAAATTATTTTTAACTTCGAGGAAAAAAAACAGGCAACCAAACATCTCTCTCTCTCTCTCTCTCAAACTTGAACACAAAGGAAGCCTCAAAAAAAAGCCGCCCTCCGGCGCGCGGCTCGTCGGCTCGACTCCAGCCACGTCTCTCGTCTCGTCTCGGGGGCCCCTGCGCCACTCCGGCGTCTCCTTGGGCTTGGCTTCGGCGGCTTTGCCTCGCGACAAAACGATCGGCGCGGTGAGAAAACGGCGCAGGCACGGGAAGGACGCAGGGGAGCTGAGGGCTCGGGGAAAAATGGAGACACAAAAAAAGGAAGCTCTAAGAAGAATGGTAGCTGGAATAGACTCATGTGGCATTTGATTGCTGGTGGGGCTCGTTAAAGAGCTGGAACAGGGCTGTGGTTGAAACGGAATCCACGGATCTGTGATACAACAGAAAGGGCTTCACAAAGACTAACCCCAAGCAGGAGATTCCGCTGCACAGAAGTGGGGATAAACCCCTTGATCCCACAACCCGGAGCTGGAATCTCTCAATATGTGGCATTAGGTTGAACAAAAGAAACAGGCCCCCAACGGCTATCAGCTGCTTTCTTCAGTGACCCAATTTTGGGCATTTTGCGTGGACTAATTGACAGCCGGAGGCCTGGAAGAAGGCCACACGCGACCTCGCCAGATCAGGGCTTCTGAACTGGCTGGAAGCTCCAACAAGCGATGCCACCTCTCAGCGTAGCGGAGGCACCATGCTGGGACGAAAATGTCCAGGCAAAGGATACGCCTAGCATTTGCATATGTGGCAAGGGCAAGACTCATCCTTCGCACAAAATGATGCGCTTTGGGAAACTTTGAGCTTTTGGGAAGCAACGAGAGTTGGGGGGAGTGGGGGAGAGAGCGGTTGGGGGCTCGTCCACACGTTTTTGTTTGAAACCTCAGAGATCATCCCCCATGAATTTTCCCACCAGTCAGGTTGACCGAACATCCCCAACGACTCTTGCCAGTCATGTTTACCGAACATCCCCTCCAACTCCTGCCGTATCAGGGATCCTTACATTATACACCTGAACATTGCCTTGTAAATGGTGGTTTCCTTTTATTTTGGTGGAAAAAGCCATGTTTCAAATGGGCAACATGTATCTTTTTAGGAGCCCTGCGGAAATATTCCGACTCTTGCCTTCGCCTTTGCCCTTCTCCTTGTTGTCCTCGCCCTTGCCCTCGCCCTGCGCACTAGTTCAGCTGGGCTGAAAAGAGCGACAGGTGGTTTTTACGGCCTAGCGCCCATGAGCAGACAAGGGCACCGCTTCTTGGCTGATCAAACCTTCTGCCCAAAAAGAATGCGGGTCCTTGGAGAAGGACAACAAAAGGAAGCATACCCAAATCTTCTAGCCGTCAGGTCTGGTCATCGTTCTGGAGCAACGCTGTCTGACCTTGGAACACCTTTTCCACAAAACTTACCAACGAAGCGGGGGGTGGAGGAATCGCTCTTGGCGGTGCTCAAGCAGCCGGCCATGTCCCTAAGCAGAACTCCCAGCAAGCAGTTTGGATACCCCAAGCTCCAGAAGAGCTCGCTTCCACCAAGTTGCCCGCACACCCTACCTGCACCCGGCCATGGCAACAAAATAATCATAATAAATGTCATCAAGTTTGTCAACAAACAATGGCTGTCCCTGAAACCACTGGACTCGGCCGCCGAAAAAGATCGGATCCGGATTGCGGCAGCGGCGATGCGTGAGGCAGCCGAGGCACATCCTTAGAGTTTGTCGGTTGGTCGCGGTTGAATCAGGCTCCGTTCTGCCAGTGACCAGCTCCAATTCTCCTTTTGCCACAACTTTTGTCCCCCTCTTGCCTGTCCTCCGAACCGAACAGGTGCAAGTGGACCTTGTTTTCTTGGGCAGTGGGGGATACTCCGGGGCTGGGGATACTCCTTTCCCTCGGGGAGGGAAGGGTGATGAGGGCACCAACCAAAAGAAACACTCACATGGAACCACCGCCCCATTTTGGTGGCCCCAGCTCCCCCACCCCACCCCCCCCCCACCCCAACCCCCCCCACCCCACCCCACCCCCCCCCCGCCTTGCCCTTCGGCTGCTCGTTGGCCTGGCGCCGCTTCCGCGCCTCCGCGATGATCCAACCCGTCGGGTCCGGCAGCGTCTCCTTCGCGCGCACAACCCCTGGAAGTTTTCCCTCGGACTCCCTCAAACCTGGGAGCCCGGAGCTATTCAGCTGACACACACCAAAGCCTATGTTTTGGCAAGGGATGTCAGAGGTATTCAGCTGACACACACCAAAAGCCCTAAGTTTGGGCAAGGGATGAAAGAAGCAGCTTGGGAGTGGCTGGGTGAGTGGCAAGCTGGCACTGAAGCCCCGTGAAACGATGTGGAGGCTGATGCCGTTGAGGCCTCTAAGAAGCCTCACTCCAAAAGGCCGCCAGTTCCAAGGACACACTTCTCCCTTTTGAGGACAGTCTTTTTGTAGAGGACCCCCAAAAATAGTGGTTTAGCACAAAAGAAGACACACCCACATGATGCTCTTACTTATAGTCATCACTTTCTTTTGGCATTCAAGCACATAATCCAAGAAACCCAGTCGTAACTGACCCGCTCTCCGAGAGACGTCGTTGACATGCAGTACCAAGAACTTCCTCCCTTCCAGATGAACACGCCAGCCCAAAACCATCATTCGCAAAGGAATCTTCTGAACAGCTCCCCCAAAGCCACCCTTGGTATAGGGCCCGTGTCCTCATTTGTGTGGTGGGAGCCCTGTGAACATCTACTCAGGAGCCACCGCCCCAGGCCCCGCGCTTCGGTCCTTTGCCGTGTCCAAGTCGTAGAGGATCTTCATGGCTTGATTCGGTTTGATCTCCGCAAGGACGTCGGCCACCTTTTGGGCGGGGTGTTGATCGTTTCGCTGGTGCTCGCCCCGCGCTAGGCAGGTTTCAAACCCAGAAGGGAAATCCTTTTAGTTGAGGGGGTTCTGTGGCGGTCGCAATTTTTGGCCAGGGGATTTATGTCCACCCAGTTAATTGCATTCTTACATGCATAGGCAAGACACTAACCAAAAATTCCGTGATATACGCCTGCCCGCCTGACTAGACCCCAGAAGCGAGCGGATGATACCTTCTACCTTTGGGTGGCTTGTCTTTTTTAGAGGACCCAAACATGCTGGCGTTCCTTTTAGTGTCCCTTTAAACCCACACAAAAAAAAAAAAAAAACAATACCCTCAAAATGAAACACGCCCATTTGCGTACCAACTATTGAGCATGCGACGCACCTGCGCCTAAAACATGTGCACCGGAAGCACCTCTCTCTGTCTCTCTGCGCATGTCTGAAGCATGCCAAATATGCAAAGAACATGCTCAGGCAGGTGCAGTTGAGGTGCATGTGAAGCACGTTGTGGGCGCGTGAAGCATTTGAAGCGTACGAAGACTACCGGATAGTTTGGCGAACCCTCATGTCAGGCAGGTGCAAAACATGAGCCACTGGCGGCGCAAAAAATGCCCAGCATGAGGCAATGAAGACCTCAACTTCGAAGTTGGTTTTGGCAATCGTTAGTGAATGACTTTTGGATTGGTTTTGGATCCAAATGAATCCCTTTTGGATAGGGAATTTATTGATGTTAGTTGGATAGGGAATCCCTTTTGGATAGGGAATTCATTGGTTTTAGTTCGATGGGGAATCCCTTTTGGATTGGTTGGTCTTTTAACTAATGAACCATTCACCAATCCGAAATAAGGGTCCCCTATGAAAGTCAACTTCGTGGGTGAGGTCGCAAACGCTTGCGAGGTTGCATAAAACTTCGCTCAGCCCTCTGCGATTGTGCCCAGGAACAAGGTGAGTCAAAGCTTTCCGTTTGAGGAGTCCTTGTTTTCGATTGCACCCTTTTGTGGATTGCTTAAAAAGGGAATCAAAGGGAAAAATACCTTTCTTGGTCCCAAATCCATTTGGAGACTTTCCTGCCGGAAAGCTTCTTGCACATCCTGATCCTGATCTGATGACTGGCCAAACAACGTGTAAACGTTCTGAGCCTTGGCTAAACTTATGCAACCTGGCAAAACGTTTCAAGTTCGGCAACTCAACAGTTGCAGCTCCCCATGTTGGTTTCATCATCGCCCCCGACAGAAAGGGGAAGCGTGCCATCCACTTTCACCCCATAAGCCAGAACCAACCCAATGTGTAAGCATGATTAAATTAAATTCAGCTTCCCCTAGTTGGCAGTTTGGATTGGTGGCTTGGTGGTTAGGGGTGGTTTAAAATCCCCAAACCACCAACTAAGGGATACCTGATAATCATACATTGGCTTGCTTTCAACTTAAAGGTGCCTAGGGTTATGGGGGTATGGTTGTTACTCAAATGGCTGTGGCTCAAAAAACCGGTACCAAAATGGAACCCTGGTAAGTGGAAAAATGGGTACCAAAACCTGCGGTTTGCCCCTCCTGGTTAATTTTGAGCCACACCCAAATGTGTAACCTGGCCTGCTCCGTTAACCCTGCCCCCAGTGGATTTCACAGGATCGAGTCTTCCCGTACCAGGGCTGTATTAATTTCTGGGCGGTCCCAGCCGTCCTGTTCCTTAGGTTCTGAGGTGCTTGCTTGATTTAGAGGGGGGTTCCATTTAACCCACAGAGTTGACCGGCAGGGGATTTGAGGGCGGCCCAGTAATCTGGGGGCAACATACTGGTGGACACTGGGAGGATATTTTGCAACTTGTTGTAGTTGCTTTTTAGGCCTGGGTCCAGCAGAGAGGCTACGATAAGGGCACCAACTTGTTTCTGCAGTCTATTGTAGTAGGGGAACCCTCCCACCAAAAAAGGGGAGAGAAAGGGCACCTGGCTGGGGGACCTAGGGGTCGCAAGTAGAAAGAATTGATCCGGGATTGGTAGGCTGGATTCGGGAATTGATCGGGCCTGGCTGAGCCGGATCTGGTCGCTCAGGTTCCCGTGCTTGTTGTACCAATTCACCGTCCTCGAGAAAAGCGGGGAGAAACGAGATGCAAAAAAAAACGAGTCCAAACTGACATGTGGCTGTGGCTCAAAAAAATATATGCCCAAATGGGCCCCCTGGGTAAATGGAACCAAAGACTAAAACCTGCGTAACCCTGGCTCATGAATGTTGAGCCACACCCATGTGTTTCTTGAAAGTAGGATTTGGCCCTCTAACACACTTGGCCTTAAATAGTTTCCCTTTGAGTAGAACCATGTTGAGCAACCAGATGGGAGGCTGAGGTTGATCCTTCTTTTTTTGTCCGGGGCCCGAGTCGACACTCCCGAAAAGAAAGAAGAAAAACAAAGAAGAGAAAAAAAAAAGCGAAACAGGACAGTTTTGGCGCCCCATCTAAAAAAACTGCTCGCAGCTAAACGCGTTGCAAAGCTTCACATCTCTGCGGGCCCTGGCCCCCGTCTGACCGACTTGTTCCTCCCGATTGGCTCACCTCCGTCCCCATGGACGATCACTCGCCAAAAGGAAACCCGTCTCAAAATACAAAACAAACAAAAAACCACCAACCAACCAACCAACCAATCAAACAAGTCAAACAAAGAAGCAAAATACATAATTAAACCAAGCAAGCAAGCAAGCAAGCAAGCAAGCAAGCAAGCAAGCAAGCAAGCAAGCAAGCAAGCAAGCAAGCAAGCAAGCAAGCAAGCAAGCAAGCAGACAAACAAACACTCAAACACTCAAACACACAACCACACACGCAGACAACAACCAAACAAACGAACGAAGGGAGAAAAAAAAAAGAAATCAACTCAACCAGCAAACCAAGCAACCACACAAACAAACAGACAAACACACAGACAAGCACACAAGCAAACACACAAACAAACAGACAAACACACAGACAAGCACACAAGCCAACACACAAACAAACACAGCAAACAGAACACGGCAAGCAAACAAGCACACAAACAATCACACACACACAAACAAACAAACAAACACACAAACAAGCAAACAAACAAACAAACAAACAAACAAACAAACAAACAAACAAACAAACAAACAAACAAAAAAACAAACAAACAAACAAACAATCAAAAAAACAAACCAAGCAAACAAACAAACAAACAGACGAACACACAGACGAACACACAGACAAACACACACACACACACAAACAAACACAGCAAACAAACACAGCAAACAAACACGGCAAGCAAACAAGCCCCCAAACAATCACACGCACAAACAAACAAACCAAGAAGAAAGAAAGAAAGAAAGAAAGAAAGAAACAAAGAAACAAACAAACGTACCAACCAACCAACCAACCAACCGACCGACCGACCGACCGACCAACCAAAACAACACAACCTAACCCAACCCAACCCGACCCAACCCAACCCAACCCAAGCAAAGCGAGCGAGCGAGCAAGCGAGAACAAGCAAGCAATCAACACAAACAAACAAGCAAACAAACAAACCATGCAAACCAAGCAAGCAAGAAAACAAGCAAGCACAGTGAAAAATCGCTCGCAAGTACCGAAGTAGAACTAACACATCAGCACACAAGTAGCACGTTCTCGTTGGCCACGCGACCTTTTTTTGGAGCCAACCGAAGTTGGCAAGTACATGTACACAAGGCACTAAGCATGCTGGAGGAAAAGTGCATTTGTTTTTAGCAAAACACGTAGACAAACACGCCACCAACTTCCGCCGGGTCCATCAACACCCCGGCCGACGGCTCCTCTTCAGCTTCTGGTAGAACTCGTCGCCCTCTTCGGGCACTGCTCCTGAAGAAATCTGCGGCAAACCAATTGAAAAGCTACCCTTGACCAGACGAAAGGCAAAGATGATGGCAACATGATGGAAGCCCAAAAAGGCAACAAGTTAAAGGGCAAGCCAAGTCTTGCACTGTACCCCATTGTGCAAAGACATTAGCTAACCAAAGACAAATATCGGGATCCCGAAAAGAAGAAGGAAAACAAAAGGAAGGAAACTGCCCACTTTGCGTCTCTAGACATTGGCTAACCAAAGACAAGTATCGTGCTGAAACCCCAAAACGGAAACCAAACACCATCTTCGGGTCTGGCCTGGAGAAATTTTCTGAGAGAAGTTGGCCATCGCCATCTCGGGAGGCGGCGACTGAACAGACTTCGGAGATCGGATCCGAAGCGATGAACCCCCACCACCCCCACCCTGGTGGGTTCGTTGCCCGAAATCTTTGACCAAAAGGCCCGACTTCAGGCTCGTTTTCTGGGGGAAACCAGCAGCTTGGCAAAGCCTTAGGACTCACCAAAAAAAGAAGTCGCTGAAGTGGCGGCCTTGGAAACTCAGGGAGACAACTGAAAAAGGCTCAAGGCTTTCCTGTTGGTTTCCCTTGGAATAAACCTAAGGCTACCTTCAAATTACCTCCCCCTCCCCCTCCTCCCACGTCTCCTCCTGGAGCTTTGGCTGGGCCTGCCTTCCTCGGAGAAGCGGCCGGAAAAAATCGGCGCGGCGCGGTTTTGCGGGGACCTGCCGAGCTTCGCTTATCTTTTTTTTGGGGGGCCCCCGGCACGGAGGGTTTGCTTTTGGTTTGCTTGTAAACCAGCCGGTACCCTCAAAAAGAGACAGACCCACATCGACAGGCTGTCGATCAAAGCAAATCCGGTCTGCACGAGTTCGGACTTCTAAGCAAGATCAGGAATTCCACACCATTTCGGGCCCTGCGCAAGGGGGAGGCCACCACCCTGTCTTCGTAGCTTCGGCAACGCCCAAACGGAGGTCCCCCGTCACCTCCGTCGCCTCCATAGGATGCCTTGTGGAGAAATAGATGGGCTTCCCTGGCATAAACCCCATCAAAACCAGGAATCGCCCTCTATTTTTAAAGCAAACCAACCAAAAAGGACGCCAGCTGCCTCCGTCGCCTCTCTGAGGCTCCGGGCTTGCTGTCCTCCAGCCTTCGCAGCATCTTTCGGAGGTCGTCGTTGGTGGCCAGGAGGCCCCCCTTCTCGTCGTTCAGCAGGCTGGTGAAGAGGGTAAAGCCTCGCGACGCAACTCGGGACCCGGGGGTTGGGTCACCCAGCTTCGCAACAACGGCCCAAAGGGAAAAACCACGAGAACATGCCGGAGGGCTGCGTCTGTTTTGTTGAGGGTACCCTTTTTGTGGCTGGTTTTAAAGGGGAACCAAAAGGAAACCAACCACATTGTTTTTTTGTGGGGGGGGAGTGGGGGGGGGGGGGGGGGTAAAAACAGACACCGGAGAAGAGACAAAGAAAGGGACAAACGAGCTCCAGGATTGATCCGAGGCCGCAATTGACCCTGGATGAGAAGCCCCAAAGGAAACATAGCGTGTAGGTCAAAATGAAACCACCAGGATATGGACCACAGGTTTTAGTCCTTGGTTCCATTCATTATTTGCCAGGGCGCCATTTCGGGGTTACCGAAGAGTGCAGGACCTCCTTCAGAGGGACACCCCCACTACTCAAACAGGGTTTCATGCATGAATCCCGGGTCAACATTTGAAGAGCCAACCCCCCCGCATCTGAAATTATAACCAGCCCATATGGCAAGCCCTCCCAACCGCTACCAGGTGGAGCTTCTCTTTCTTTTGCAGGGGGTTGAAGCCTGACTAAGCGAAGGGCACCGAGCCCCTTCATCTCAAAAATAGAACCAACCAACCTGCTCCAGATTCCAGATTCAGCTGCCTCCCTCAAAAAAGAATTTTTCGTCACCCAACCTGCTCCCCAAATCCATTTCCACCCCCCCCGCCCCACCCCCCCCTCCCCTTTGCAACCAACCGAAACCGGCTCCAACCGACCCAAAGCCGGTCCCCCAGTCCCAACCACCCGCAACCGGTTCGACCCGCTCAGCCGGTTCCAACCGGCCTATGCCCTTGGCAGGGTTGGCTTTCTTCTCCTCGCAGAGCACCCGGAACTCCTCCGTCCACTTCTGGTCGTTGCCCTTGAAGCCGTAGAAATTGGCCTCGGCTGAACGCTCTCTGGGCTCACACACCCCGCGCGCCGCTTGTCGCGCCGCTCGTCGCGCGGCCGAGGTCACTGAGTCGGAGCTCTGGGCGTAAAGCCGAAAACGGGGCCCAAGCAGACGGGGTGGGAAGTATAACATGTGCATATTGCAAGTACCAAGACATACGCAAATGGACATGTCTGGTGTACGTAACCAATTGAAGATTAAACTAGAGTGATATCGTATGGCTTATTTGCACATATTGAACTCCAAATAGGGGGATCCCCCCAAAACAACAGGGTCTACCCAAAACAACGTGAAGAACTAAAAAACGAGTCTCTTGCCGCCCTGCAAGTACTAGGCTCCGGGTTTTGATTGTGGCTCATCTTGAAGCATCACCACCAAAAGGAAACAGACTTTCAATTGCAGTTTAAAACCAAAAAAGGGAGATATGGGTAACCCTGAAACAACCCAAAACACGGCTTCCCCCCCTCACCCAAACTGCACCCCCCCCCAAAAAAAAAAAAAAAAAACAGAGAGGAAAAAAAAACAAGGAAACAAAGACATGTTCCCTGGTTTTCCTTTCCGCCAAGCAAGGGTCACTCCATGGCCACGCACCAAAAAAAATCGAAACAAAACGAGAAAACGCGCGGACTCGCGCGTCACTCCATCGCCGGGCTTGGCGCCCCGGCGATGTTGCGGAACTCGCTCTCCCCGAGCCAGTCATCGCCGTTGGCGTCGCAGGCGCGGAACACGGCCCGCATCAAGTCGCCGCGGGCCTTGTGGTTCTCCTAAAGAGCGCAAAAAAAGAAAAACCGCTGCCTGCGGCTATTGCCCGACATTGGGTCAACAGCAATGGTACCATTTTGGTGAATTCACCACCCATTTTAGTCTATTTGAGTGGGGATGGATGCTCACTGGGGGTACGATTTGGATTTTGACCCATGGCCAGATGGGTATCTTAAAATGGTGGACTTTCTTCCCCCACAAAAAAAGGGGACCATTTGCAGTCAGGCTTGACAGGCAGGTACAAAGTGAGTGATATGCCTCCGAACTTGAGGGAACCCCTGAATCGGCATGTTTGCAAGCCCCAAAGAGGGGCTCGACAAAAAAACAAAAAACAAAAAACTTTGCGCGTCAAGGGCACACCAAATTCAGTGCCAGCATGTCTGTATATTCTGTATTCACACAAATCCTTTCAGAAAAAGTGGAAAAGGCGTGTTCCATGCGCAGGAAAGGCGTATGCGCTACGCGACCCGTGTCAACTGCGAAACCCGTCACCCCCTTTGAGCCTTACAAAACCGTCAACTGCGCCTTGTCCTCAGGCTTCGGGCCGCTTCCTGCACGAGCTCACTGCATGCAACTTGCGGCCGGGGGTTGCCCCAATGATCCCAGGACAAAAGGAAGGCAACGCACTTCTCGAGCGGCCGATGAAACAAGCAAACTTCGAGTCTGCCACCAAGGTTTGATCTTCCCCCAAAAACGTCCGACCAGCTCTTGAGGGACCATCTTCCCAACCCCAAAGTAGTCTCAAGCTGCGGGCCCTCAAGTCAGACGCGCCGCGCAACGGCTTCGAACCCGGCGCCTGCCGGAACCTTGGCGCGCGGGACGGCCCCCTCCTCCCAGCTGTCACCTGGGATCAGCGCTCAATCCATGACACACACCTGAGTCAGATCATCAAAACCGATTGATACTAAAATGGTCGCAATCATAGGTGGCCTTTTGGCAAAATAGATGGGTTTCCCTGGGAAATGGGGCATAAAACCCATCTAAACCAGGAATCGCCCTCTATTTTTTAAGCAAACCAACCAAAAAGGACGCCCATGGTCGTAATCCCAGAACCATGCTTCAAGAATCAAGAAGGCGGAATTCCGCGGCTATTTATGATGTTGGGATTGTCCCTTAACCTTCATCTATCCAGGTTGTCTCGCCTGAACATTGCAACTTGTAAATGGTGGTTTCCCTTCTTGGTGTTGAAAAAGCCACATGTTTCAAATGGTTGCGAAATGGAGATCTTTTAAGGAGCCCTGCTTAAAATACACGATTGTTGTTGGTTCCAGGCCAGACTCACCAGGGGCTAGGCTTAGTTGTTGGTTCCATTTGCCAAGGCACCATCTTAAATTATGGCAATATGTTTTTGAGCCAAAGCCAACAAAGCACAAATGATCGTCAAAGGGCGCGTGCCCTGAAACTGGTGTCTCTCTTTTTTGCGTGCCCTAAAATTATTTGTGACATGGGCTGTTCAGTGCTTCTCAAAAAGTCGCTCTTTTAGCAAGTGCCCCAATCTGGCCTCGTGCCGCACATCAAACCGCCTGAGCCTCCGGCTCTGCTTGCGACGCTCGATGGCCTGCGAGTCAAAGCGCTTCTCGGGCTTTGCCTTGCGCTCCGCCGGGGGGACGTACTTCTCGCTCTTGCGCTCGCGGTTCTCCCGGTCCCGAACCTCCGGCTCTTCGCGGGCCTCGCGGGCCTCGCGGACCTCGCGGACCTCGCGGACCTCGCGGGCCTCGCGCGGCGGCTCGCGCACCTCCCGGGTCTCCTGGACCTCCCGCGCCGGCGCGGGCTCCTCACGGGGCGCCTCGCGCTGCGGTGTGGGCTGCGGCGCCGGCTGCGGGGGTGGTGTGGGCGTGGGCGTCGGCAGGGGCTCTGGAGGCTTCACCTCCACTGCCTCCGGCGGCGCAGCTGGGCGCCCCACCGCTTTGGGCTGGAAGTGCTGCGGCACGGCGCAGGGCACGCCCTGCTGCATGGGGTCGCGGCCCCAGTCCAGCGGCGACCCCACGGCCAGCCCGCCCACAGGCCCCATGGGCCCCATGGGCGCCATGGGCCCCATGGGCCCCATAGGCCCCATGGGCCCCATAGCACCGCCCACTGCCATGGGATTCACCTGCCGGGCAAATCTTGCAACCAAGCCCCAGCCCTAAACCACCCTTGTTCAAAAAATGATCTCACCCCAACTTGGAGACAGCAAATAAGATCTCACCCCAATTTGGGGACACCAACATCCCATCTTTAAGCCCAGCTGAGTCACAATCAAAACCCGGCATCAAAATGGTCGTAATCTCAGGTCGATGAACCGATGGCCCACATCACGCGCCTGGGAACCGATGGCCTGGCACGCATGTGGCTGCCGCCCCGGCTGCAGCCGCGGGTCCATGGGCAGCGGGTTCGGCAGCGGGCCCAGCAGGCCCAGCCCGAAGCTCACGCCGGGGATCGGAGGCCTCGAAACCGAGGGAGGCCGACGGAGAGGGGGGGCGCATGGGAGGGGGTTGGTTTAAGGAGGGGTTGGTTTGCCTGGCTGCAGAGGGGCGGGGGGGGGGGGGGGAAGGGGAGCAAGGGAGGGGTTGTGCCACCAGGTTGGTTTGCCTGAGCCGCCTACGAGGGGGCTGGTTTCAGGAAACCAGATAACCAACCACCAGGCAACCTGAACCACCAGGCATCCTTGTGCATGGTGCCTTTTCTCAAGGGAGAGAAACGGTGGCTGGAAGGCAGAGGTTCTTATATGTACCCCAACATCCCACCACGAAACGGGGACCAATCTTGAAGTAACCAACTGGTGATGTTACCGCCGGAAAAGGGACATGTAAGGATCCCTGATGCTGGAAACCGACAGTACATCTTCACCTGTACGGGAACCCACAACCCCTTGTTGTTGTAGCTCCCCCAGAAAAATGCCGGTATTTGGGGGAAAAAACAAATCCATTTTTCCGGGAGAAGCTTCAAACATGGAAAGACAAAAAGACACAAAGAGGGGTCTGAGGTTCCCATGGCCATCCCGCCCTCTTTCCTAAAATCGTCCAACCCGTCCCTCCCTTCGTCCAATGCCTAACGACCCGCCTCAGCTTTTGGCCTTGTCAGTCTACTCTCAACACGGCAGCAGTTGATTTCCCCATGGCTTTGAGTCTCAGATACAGGGGCTTGCAGGTTCGGGGTTCCAACTCACCCAGGGTTCAAACCCCCAAACCAGCAAATCAAACCACCAAAAACAGGGTCCCTCGAAACCGGGAGCTAAAGGGAAAAATTGAAAAAAAATGTGGGTTTTCCTCTTGGTTTCATGTCAAAACCCGCCAAAAACAGGGACACGAGCCTCTAGCCACACCCAAACCACCACCCGCTTTCGGCCGCTTCGTCTGGGCGCCGGACCCCCCACCTGCCCCCGGGGGCATGGGCGGCGGCTCGGTGGGCGGCGCAGGACGGTTGTAGGTGCCCAGCCCTGGCGTCACAATCCAATGAAAGCCTGGTATCAGGCAACCCTCGATTGGTTTCTAGGTCCAGCAGAGAGGTCAGAACAAGGGTACCCTTCTTTCCGTAGTCTATTTTAGTAGGGGAACCCTCCCCCAGAAAAGGGTAAAAGGGCACTACTGGGGCACCTAGGTTTGGATCGGTGGTTTGGACTTGACTTTGAACCCCTGGTTCTGGAGGGCTAATGGGAGCTGGAGTTCGCGCCAGCGAAAGCCTGACGCTTGAAACCGGCCCTGGGTTGCTACTTTTCGCGAAACCGGCTGACGGATGTGACCCGGAGCGGTTTGGGAGCTCTGGAGCCTGGTCCGCTGAGTCAGGTCCGCCGAATCAAGTCAACAGTAGAGGCTCTCATGCTTCGAAACGGAAATGGAATAAAACAGTCAACAAAAATCGAACTGGCACTTTAGGTAGCTTAGGGCCAGTTAGTTGGCATGGGGTGCCAAATTGTTCAACTAGTTGGGTGTATCCTTCGATGGCTTCGAATTTCACCCTCGCGGCCGTTTTCGGATTCGACCCAGAACATTGTCTTGGCGATTTTTTGGCTTCGAATCTCGGGCATGTTCGGCTTCGCCCCAGAACATCGTCTTCGCCAATTTCGGAATCGAATTTCGTCTTCGCCCCTAACACCGTCTTCGCCAGTTTCGGCTTCAAATGTCGTCTTCATCGTCATTTTTGGCTTCGCCTCGCAATATCGTCTTCGCGAATTCCGGCTTCGGATTTCGTCTTTGCAGGCATTCAGCTTCGATGTTCGTCTTCGCGGCCATTTTCGGCTTAGTGCTACATGTAAAGGTCATCTTCGCAATCCCGTCTTCCACCACCCAGCAAAATGGGGGACCCTCTCTCCAGGGTCAACGCAAATCACCAATTGAGGGTTAAAACATAGTTATCTCTCTACTCGGCCTAGAGTGACTTGTTGCTGGGCTTGATGTCTCTATTCACTCGGAAGTTCTGAGCCGTCTCTCTGCTCCGGTGAATGGAAAACCTCCAAACCCCCCAATCCAAACCACCAACGGAGAACCCAAAAGCTCTACTTAGGCTTTGAGTGAGGCTATGGAAGTGTCTCATGGCCCCTTTGTCATGGCTCCCCTTCAACTAAACGGGGACTGGTGTGAGAACCCCCCCCAGGGTATGTCTCATATTTGGGGACTCCAAAAATTGGAAAGGTGTCCTCTCGGTGTCTCTGTCAAGCTAATTACCTGAAAGGGCACCTTCAAAAAACTAGAAAACCCACAAGTGCTCTATCATGCCCATTTGTCCTCGTTGCATCACAATACTGGGCCATCAATCTATCATTGCAGTATCACAAGTACTCCTCTAAAGGCGGCTTCATCTAATCAGGTGTCATAACATACTCTCCAACACCATGACTGGACCCCATCCATCTACTAGCAAGTTATCCTCCCCGAAGCATGGCTGCTAGTCTGCTAATAACTTTGCAATCGTTGCAAAAAATGAGCTGTGGCTTCTGAACCTTCCCTCTTAGCCCCCCTTTGACATCATCCAAAGGGTTCAACACCCATTAAACGAAAGGTTGACCCAATTTGGACGACGACAATCCTTAGGTAAACAATAGTGGCAATGTGAGATGCCATTGTTCTCGTCTTGGTTGAACCCCAGGGATCACCCAAAGGAAACTATAAACCTACTTGAACTGAGCTCCCAAGGCTGATGATTTGTGGCGAACAAGTCTGCGGGGCATGGGGAGGTTGCCCGAGAAACGAAAACGGGGGGAGCCCCGCTCGGGCCAAAAAACAAAAAACTGGCCCTCGGTTCTTGTCAGGCCATGCCTGGCGGAGCACGGGCGAGGGCCGCCAATGCCTCCTGGCGATGCATTTCCCCAAGTGGTTCACACCATGGGCCAACTGACAAATGCCACGCATATTCGCAGTGACTCATGTGAGTCATGGTCAAAACTCCTCATATGGCCCATGGTCATGGTTCCCCTGAACAGGAATCACAACCACGATCTTCCATATCTTCAGGATCCTTACTACTAGGTGGATGACCATCCCTGATTACCCCAAGTAAAGAGGTCCTTTGACCATTGCGCATATGGGGATTGTGTTTTGTTTGAGCTGGTACCCTTTCAGGTTAGTTTGAAGGGAAGTCCAAAGAATGAATCGCTCCATGTTCAGACACACACACACACACACCCATACGACTACTTTGTTGCTGTCAAAAGCATTCCCCAAGAGTATCGACCAACATGTGGGATTTCCGAAGCCTCATTCGCCCCAACTATGACTGTACGTAAGTTGGCTGGTTGTCTCAAGAGAACCCTAACCAGAAAAACACAACGGGCCGGAGGGGGACCCAAAAATAGGGTGGGTGCCCCACAGAGGGGTCTCTCCGACTTCCCGATCGGAGGATTGGCCACATGCTCCAACCTTGACACCCTTGGTCATGAGGCCTCGGTAGCCCCCTCTGGGCGCATCAGCGACTCCTGATATAACTGGAATTCGACATGTATCAGCGACTCTTGCCCTGCGAGCGCTTGCGAGGCAGAACGACTCGCGTCAAGCTCTGGACACGGCGCTTTTGCAAGGAGTCGAAGTTTGTGCGTCGCAAGATTGGGCTACGTCAGGAGCTTACTCTGGCGCAGAAACGTGCAAAGGCGGCTACGGTATGCCTCTTGCGTCTGCATTTCAACCCAACTATCCAAAACCTGCTGCGCCATGCACTGCGTTGACTTCCTTCTCAAGCTGGCACGTCTGCAACAGCGCGCCAAACAGATTCCCGGTCCGACCGGTTGAACTCCTCGTTTCGCCCAAGAGGCCCCGAGAACCTCGGAGCCTGGTCTGGGTTTTGTAACACGTGGTCCCCCATGGACTCAGACTCAGTCTAGGGGGTGATTCAGTGATTCCCCATTCTTTTCAACCATCCTTCCTTCAAAACCCAGCCGTTTTTTCCCCGGTTTTCCGGCGGTCTTCTAGACAGAAGGATCCCTGGAAAGAATGGGGAAGGAACATAGCTGTGCTTAGGACTCCTTCCAAAACGGAAGGAACACCTCCAAACACAAGTTACACCCCCGCATGGTCACATGGGAACCGGTTCCCACCCGGAACCTTCCGTCTTCCTCTTCCGGAAGCCGTCCTCTTGCGAGAGGTGGGTGCCCATATCCGGCATCAAGCCAAGACCCAGAGCCTGGTGCGAGCAATTGGCAGCGTGGCTCACCGGACTTAAAAGGAAACCCACCACCCCCCCCAAAACCCCCCCGGCCCGCAATAAGCAAAACAGGGTGCCACTGGGCAAGTGCGAATGGCTCGAGAGCTGCATCCTTCCTCCGAACTTCCAGGTGCAGCAACTGCCAGCGGACTGTTTTTTGTTTCCTCTGGCGCAGAGTTCGGGATACAAATGGCCTGGAAGCCTTTCTTGAGGGCACCGGATAGCACCCGATGTAAAACCGTCCAACTTGCAGCTTCATTCTTCGCCGGATTCGTGGGCTTCGCCACATCCCCTGAAATCGTGCCATGTGCTATTGAGGCCATCGCCCCTGGGATGAACGGAGGTGCATTTGGGTCCGTCATCACAAACCTCGGAAGCGAATCGAGTCAAATCCAGCGCGCCGTCTGCCCTGCTTCATGTGGCTGTGCTGGTGGGTGTCCCCTGAAATTGCCTCCAAACTAGATCAGCCGTGCAAAAAGAGGCCATGTGCAGTTGGAATATGTCTTGCCGACGGGAGGAGGGTTTCCCACGTCCTTGGGCTGAGTCACTGAGGCCGGGGCTGTAGTTGGACAGATCTGAAGAGGCCGGGCCGTGATTTTTTGTCTCTCAGGGGGAGGATGGTTTTTGCTGAAGCCTTGAGCTTAGGGTGAACCGCTCTGGGCATGCGGAACTTCAAAACTCGCTGAGGGTGTGGTGTGACGTGGACCTGAGCGGCCGAGGAAGTCTGTTGGAGTTGCTTACCAAATGCTGCGGCAGTTAAAATCTCTTGAGAACTTTCGCCTTGAGCGGACTCTCAACTGAAGTGTGAGTGTGTGAGTGTGTAGCTGCGTGGGCTGCGTGGGTGGGTGCGTGGGTTGTGGCTGGCCGGCTAGGAGGACCTGCGTCCTTAACGTCGACCCTCACGCGGCTTTGATTGAAAGGCCGCGGCATTCTAGAGATGCACCGATGACAGCCCACAGCTTCCATGGCTAAAAATCGTTGGCCGGCAAAAACGAATTGCTGCCTGTTTTGGGATTGACCATTGGTCCATTGGTCAGGAAGCCACCAAACAAACCAACTGCACAGCTGGCTTGGGAAACCCCTAACAAGTGCTTGCTTCTCAAGTGGAAGGGTCCACACAGCCTGGCTTGAAGGTTTCCCCGGGCTGTTCAATTCAAACTCAGGTCCCCGATTCTCAGAAGATCCCTGAATCCCGAATCGAAACTCAAGCTAATTCAGACATGGCATTCCAGTTGCAGCCTGATACCTTGGCCTTGCTACCGAGATGCTGACAAAGGCTTATATAATTAAATTATATGTATGTGTCTGTGTGTGATTCCGGAATGGACGACTTCGTTTACATGGGGGGGTGTCCAACCACTGCACTTGCGGGTGTTTTCATGAAAGCAAACTTAGCTATGCTATGTCTCGAGATGGTTTTGGGTCTGTCTCCAAACAGTGGAACCCCACATTAGCCAGTTGCCTTTTGATGTCTTGTTCAAAACAATCCCAAAAATAATACCTCCAAAACACACACACACACACCAAAAAAAAAAAACAAGGGCAGTCTTCACCGCGCTAAGGTGGCAAGATTGGTGGCTGAGGGTCGGATCTCCATACGCCGCTCATCCGTCACCGGGCCTGCCCGCCTTTTGCGCCGCCCGAGGACGCAGGAAGCTTCGCCCCGCGGCCATTTTCGCCGCGGGCGGTTTTCCGCCGCGTTCTGCCGCGGCGAAAGCTGAAGCAGCGAGGTCTGGACTGGAGCTTGGCTGCCAACGAAGGCTGACTTCAAAGTGGATGGGAAAAGCACACGGCTTCGGGTTCGCGCCCCCCTTGCCGCTCGCTGCGCCGCCCCTGAGCTTCTACGAACCGCGAGCTCAAGCGGCGGTTGGGTAGCGCCGGCCTCAGACTGACCAAATTCCGGGCGGGTTTGACCCACCACTACCCATCCCACAAAATGGCAAACTGAGTGGATTCGGGAAGGCCATGGAAGCGGCGCAATGGAGTGTCAGCTGAGTCAAAATGTCCGGCAAGGGAAAGGCAATCTTCCAAAGCAATTAAATCTGTGTCCTTCCATGTATGTTGGCGGTAGAACAAGTGCAAACATGAAAGAAACACGCCCTGCTGCTCAAAGAGTGCTTGGGTGCCAACTGACCTGCTGACTGCCATGTGCTGATTGCCAACACATGAACAACCCTCCACCCCTCCTTCTACAAGCAAACAACATGCATGCAGCCGTCCCCCAGGGCCGAGTTTGGGAGTGTCCAAAAGTGCATGCCCAGCCTCTCCATGCGCGATTTCGCGAAGACCGAAGTCGGTTCCGCAGGGCCGCCTGCGACTTAGATGGGCGCCGAAAACCCATTGGCTTTTGGTTCTAATGACATGGCTGTGGTTGTCAAAACCGTTTTGGTATCCCATTTTGGGGTGGGTGCACCACCCATTTTAGTCTGTTTTAGGGAGGATTGGGAGGTTCACTGGGGGTACGATTTGGATTTTGACCCATGGCCACATGGGTTTATATTAGTCTGTCTGTTCCCCCACAATGGTTTGTTTCTCCTCTTGATTTCCCTTCCACACCACACCCAAAAGGGTCCACGCGGCGGATCCAGGGTTTTGGGCGCTGCTTGGATGGTTATGGGTCCCGGACGCTTGAATCTTGGTGGGCCTTTGTGCCCACCAATCTTTGAGGCGGTTACCTATTGAGATTCATAGCCAAATGGGTCGACGGTCAAAATAGGTCCCCAACCTGAGTCGTTCTGGGTGCTTTTCTTTCGGTGTCGGCAGCTAAACCATCACACGCCCAAACGACTGGGGTGCATCCCCACACTGCGCCACATCCAGTACCTGCCACAATGACAGGCTGCAGTTGGTCCTCCGGCAGCTTGGAAACTCCAGGAGGGAGGGGAAAAGAGGGGGGGGTTGAGCGACCTCCCGCCCCTTGCCTCTCGCTTCCCAACACCCCTCGCCTCGCGGCAGGGGCGAGGGGCGAGCCAGACGCAGCGAGAGAGAGAGAGAGAGAGAGATCTCGATCGATGCCTCGGAACCGTGGTTTCAGGGCGAGCTTGGGTGGTTTCATGGGCTCCGGAAACCGACTAAATGGGCTACTGCTTGTCGTGGGAGGGGAAAACCACAGGAACCGCTGCCATTGGTTTCCTGATTCTTGGGAATGTGCGGTCGTACTTTTGAGGGCGGAAATACTCCCTGTCAGAAACCATGGTGCAATCGGGGGTCTACAGAGTGTGGCGCTGCAACTCTAAATGCCAGCGTCATGATCCCATGTTAGTTGCAGCTGATGGCAACTTTTTTTGCTGCAGTTTGATCCAGCTTGGTAAAGAGGGCACCAACCAATATCCACAAGACCGCCTGAACAGCGAGCAAGAATTGCCGTCTCCAGGTTGGCACGTGACACATGGAAGCCACTCATCTTGAACTCGGGAGCTTGCATATGGCGATTGGACAGATGGACTGTCACTAGTTGTGGGAGCATCTCACACAAATCTGGATTATCTCGGCGACGAGAAGTCTTAGAGCTTGAAGACAACCGAAAGGGCCGCTAGCCTGCTGGCAGCACTTCGAGGTTTTTCCTGAATGCGTGTGCCTGAAAGAGCAAACACGTAAACATCTCGATCGCTGGCGCGTCGCCCGTGAGGATCTTAGTTTATGGCAGAAAGGCCATGTTTGGGCTACACTGCTGCCGGCTTAGCTGCGCTGGAAGTGCGGGAACGCGTCAGCTTTCGGCTCATCTGCTCATGCCAATAGAAATGTCAGGCTCTGTTCCCAAGTGCCTAGACACATCCTGGGTCTCAGAACTGCCCAAGCTCTGGGGACGGGAAGTGGGGGTGGAGGGGAGAGTTGAGAGAACACGCAACCAGTCTGAAGCTAAGCAGGTCGGTGCCGGAATTCTGCTCCAGGTACACGTCCTCTCCTCAGTCGGATCTCTTTCAGGTCGCGAGGGTCGTTTCGGTTCCAGGTCTCCGCTTTGCCTCGTAAATCTTTGGCTAGCCTCGGCTAGGGGGGGGCGCAACACATGTTGCCCGGAAGACCGCCATGTCAACAAGAATGGCTCAATGAGGGTGCACAAGCTCCAAGCAACGGCTTTTGCGAGGCATGCTAAACCCTGGTTGGAGAGCCGGCAAACCGGAAATGAGCAGCGCTCAAATGCCCATGGGCGGCGGGGGTTTGGGCGTCGAACCAAAGCGGTAGTCAAGGGCCCTCAGCCTCACGGATCAAGGGCTTCATCGCCCCCTACGCCTGTGAAAGGGGGAGAACCAGCAAAAGGCGGAGGCGTTGGATGCTCATAAGTACCTGTCCCTGAAACTTCCATATCCTGCAGGTTCCCTTCCAGCTCGAAACATCATCGCAATCCCAAATTGGACGCTTCCTTCCTCGAATTGTAAATTCTTGTGGGTCTCAGTCGCACCTTGGTACTTCTTATCCACTCTAGTTGCGTCACGTTCTCGACCTTGAGCTGCACTCAGTAGCCGTGTAGCCCGTCTGTTTACTGTGAAGCTGTGACCTGTCGCATCTCATGCTTGGACGTGCGGTTTCTGGGCGGCCGTATAGATTGAGGACGGACAGATATTTTGGACCCAAGCCCCTTGTCTTTGTGGTACACCAAGTTCTCAAAGTATTGATGCTCAACTGCTGTGTGAGTCGACACCGCTCAGTGGTTTCTGGATATGCTCCAAACCTCAAAGGATGCCATAGGAGCCATAGTCATAGGACGTTGAGTTGCAACTTATGGCCGCAATGCAGCTTCGGACCCTGTGGCCGAAAGGCGAATCTTCCTTTTGGGTCCTGCCTACAGTCCCAGCCTGTTGCTAACTTCAGCGGCCGAAGACCCAAAGACCCTGGCAGGCAAAGGGCGCGGCTGAAAACAACCCCTACCCAAGATCAAGGCCCGGGGCTCTACTTCTCGAACCCTTCGAAACCGACTTCTTGATAGGTAGCACCTCCTTTTCGAGAGCAGCGATGGGGCACCGTTGACCGTTGCAAGTCCTATGTTGTGAAGGCGGCTAGAAGCTTGCCGTAGAGACAAAAGCTCGGTTTCTGATCGCTATCCGCAGGCGGCCGAGGAGAGTGCATTGCCAATTGGCCAGGCCGATGTTTCCCCTTGGGAAGTCGTGGGACCGCCAATCTGCAGAAAAGAGCTGCATGGGGTCAGGCCTGAATCCAATGTCCTCATCCCTCCCTCTATGAGCCTGATCACCGGGTGACTCGATTGCTCAGCACCCCCCCTAACAAGATCCTCATGCCCAATTGGACGCAAAACCCATCTAGAAGGCAGTACTGAGTCAGAGGGAAAGCCAGGGAGAGAATTGGACTACACCAAAACCACCCAAGGAATCACAAGAGGCTCGCACTTCTTTGCGGTCAAATGCGCACAGTTCATTTGCGTCTGCCAAATCCCCAAATCCGGGCAAGTAAGAAGCCTCATCTTTTGACTGGAAAGCCCATCCCAAGCTTTTTGGTCGGAATCCTGGGGCCAAGCTCAAAGAGGCGCTGATCGCTCGCCCAGCCACGAGTCGAAGGCCGCCGGCCGTGGAGATCGGAACCGTTCCGAGGCAAAGACCTGCGCGTCAGCTTGCGTGAGCCACCGAGCCGCTGCAAAAACCCAGCTGAGGGTGGCCCAAGCTTGG